ATTTTTTTTTCTTTAAATCGTCCCTTGAATAGATTCGAAAAGATTTAAGTACAAATCAAAAAAATATATATACATAGCTTTGTATGTAGAAGTGATGAATTTGAATGGAATGTTATAATTGTATTTATATAATTAATAAACAGATAAACTTAACTCAACTAACTAATATAATATGACGTAACCTCTGTGTAATCTACCTTACAAAATTTCTACACCTCCCAAAGTTTGGCTGGAAGAGAATGCCCTGGGCATTAAGTCGATATACAAAACTGCATAAAGTTAAATAAATAAAAATAAACACTGAGAGGCTTACGTGGTACGGGCATTGTTTTCAAAATATAGCATAAGTAACTTGAAAAAAATCTTACTTAGTATTTCTAACTTTGAAAATGATTTACTTCTATACAACCGTCCATCCCTTAATTTACCCCTTACAACATAAAAGGCGATGATGTATTTTCTTTTAAATTATTTATTTCTTTTAAAAAGACAACTCCCGCACTAGGAATAAATCCTGTGTCGCGGGGGACTTTACAAACAAACATGAAACGGACACAAAGAACACCCATACTCAGAACAACAATTTGTGAATCACACAAGGTGTCGTCCCATGTGGGGATCGGACCCATAGCACTCAGCGTAGTAGTGAGCGGCGTGGCGACCGTTTAAGCCACTACGCCATCCATACAGTCGAGTATCACTCGCTTAGGGCAAGTAACTTTATATGTATAGATATTAAGAACGAGCATTGCTCTTTAACGTATAAAACAGTTCTCGGCTGCAAGAACTTAATTTTGTACGTTATTTATTTCAATATCCGTCAAACACCAGTATCTTCTGCGTGTAACGAAACCCTCTGATCTCCAAACAGTGTTAATATCGCAATTTTTATAACTGGCAACATTAACATACAATATAAGAATTAAAAAAATATGTATTTGATAGGTGGTCAACATTAAAAGCCTTGTAATAATTGTTTTCGTTCGATGGCTTTTGAATTATATTTACTAATGTCATAATCGACGAAGGTTTTATCCGTCGCCACGCCGCTTACTACTACGCTGTGTTGTGGGTCCGATCTCCACATGGGACGACACTTTGTGTGATCCACAATTTATTGTTCTGAGTCTGGGTGTTCTTTGTGTCCGTTTCATGTATGTTTGTAAAGTCCCCCGCGACACAGGATTTATTCCTAAGTTGTCTTTTTAAAAACAAACAAATTATGTGGGTTTAATATTTATACGTGAAGAAATTCTTCTTCCTTCCTTCTTAAACAAATATGAATCAATACTTAATCATTTATTGCGTTCCATAATGTACATAAATGGTTTTAAAAATACAGAACCATTACGGACCCTGTCGGGCACAGCAAAAGGTTAGGAGAGAGGAAGAGAGCTAAGGAGTAATATATTTATTGACGCACGGGAGATATTTGAAAAACTTAATATTAATTTGTAAAAGAAGTACATAATGCTAAAAAATAATAATAAAATAAAGTAAAAAATTATGTAAAAACAGGACACAACACAATACTATTAACAGCCTACAACAGTCCACTGCTGGACATAGGCCTCTTCTTAGACAGGAGGCCTACTATTCCACCCTGGCCAGATGGGTTGGCATAGGGTTTATGTCAGGTTTTCCTTATCTTTGCAGTGCTGTTGACCTGCGTAGTTTGCTCCCTTAGTCGCCTCTTTTGACACTCATGGGATGAATAGGGGCGTGATATTCTCGGGCACGCCGTCATCGCGGCGGTAAGACCCGTTATGGAGGATTGGCTCGAGAGGCGTCACGGGACCCTCTCATACCGATTGACGCAGGTGATCACTGGGAAGGGATGTTTCGGAGATCACCTGTGTCTGATCCGCAAGGAGCCAACGCCTGAGTGCCACCACTGCGATGGCCAGACCGTGGACACGGCTCTCCACACGCTGGCAGAGTGCCCGGCGTGGGTTGAGCAGAGACGAGACCTCGTGGCGGCCATCGGAGTGGGAGTTCTCTCGCTCGATAGCCTGATTGCGGCTATCGTGCGGAGCGAGAGTGCGTGGAACTCTGCCGTCTCCTTCTGCGAGCAAGTTATGCTCGCGAACGAGACGGCGGAGCGGGACCGGGAGAGGTTTAGGACTCTCCCGGCCCGCCAGGCCCGGGAACGGGTCAGGTACCGCAGGCGACTCAGGCGCCGGAGGTCGCAGAACGACCTCCGTCCTCCATAAGCGCAGGCCTGGGGGTGACAGGTGAGGCCATCTGTCACCCTAGCAGAAGCAGGCCGGGGTGGCGGCGAGCGCGTTGCGAAGCGCGCTCGCTTCCAGGGAGCACAGGGAACATGGGGTTCCCACACGGGGGGGGGGTCGTCTACTCGTCTGTAGATGACCCGAGGTATGTCGGGGCACCTGGGACTTCCTTTCTAGGGTATACCTGGTTCCCCGGCTATTAGTACCCGGCGACGGCGTGCGGTTTTAGTCGGTTCGAGTCCGACATGCCATCGACAGGTGGTATCCAAGGGGATTTCCGCACGGAAAAAAAAAAAAAAAACAGGGGCGTGATATTCCGTATTCTTAATCCCTAGCCACACTGATAGCATAGGGGTAACACAGTATAGGTCCCATATATTTCGACCTGTCGTGGTACAATGTTCTTAATTATCAATGACAGTTTTATAAGTTATATAGGATTACTGCTGATAGTCAATGAAATAAAAGAGACATTTAAAACGGTAAAAATACAACTGAACAGACAACCTCCATATTTTAAAAGTCAGTTATTAAGTTAACATAGTACCCATTCATTACTACACCTATATTCATGGACTTCGTAGTATCAGAACAAAGAGATCTAAAGAATTAATAAACGAACTAATGATTAAGTAATACATTACACAACTAACACACATACACACTAAGAATATGTCATAATAACTCGTACAGATCTGTCTGTTTGTCAAGTCTTCGAATCTAAATCGCTGAACTCATTTCAATGAATATTGGAACAAATATACAGAACAACCTAGATAAGGAATTAAGCTATTTTTTGTCCCTAATATATATATGGTGACGGATTAAGAATACGTAATGTCACCCCTATTCATCCCGCTGGTGTCGTAAAACCCGACTAAGGAAGTAAACTGCACAGGACAACAGCACTGCCAGAAGAAGGAAAACTTGAAACAAACCCTACACCAACCCGTCTGGCCAAAGTGGTATAGTAGGCCAAAACCTCCTTTCTAAGGAGAAGCCTATGTCCAGCAGTGGACTATTTTAGGCTGTTGATGATGATGATGATGATGATGAAAAATGTAACTGTAATTCGTCCTAATATTATAAATACGATAGTAACTCTGTCTGTCTATCACAGCTAAATCGCTGAACCGATTTTAATGAAATTTGGCATCAAGATACTTTGATTCTTGAGGAAGGACATAGGTTACTTTTTTACCGCGATAACCGAGATACGCAATTAGAGACATTCAGGGATTACAAGAAGATTACTTTTATAAACATATTTTGTTAATAAATAATGTTTCAGTGTTTTTTATGAACATCATCTATATAAAAATAAAATTTATCACGAAATTTTAAAGGTTTTTGTTTCAAGAATTGTACAAAGTAACAGATTTGAAAATTAAACTTCAATATATATATGTAAAATTGTAACCATTCTGATAAAGACTACGCCATTTTGAATGAATGAACGTGTATGCCAGTATATCAAAAAGAAGGCACTGAAATCATAATTATGAAATGTCATCTGTTTGTTCTAATTTGATATCTTTTCCTTTTCTTTAAAAAGACAACTCCCGCATTAGGAATATATCCTGTTTAGCGGGAGACTTTACAAACATACATGAAACGGACACAAAGAACACCTAGACGCAGAACAACAATTTATGGATCACACAAAGTGTCGTCCCATGTGGGAATCGGACTTACAACACAGCGTAGTACCTAGTGAGCGGCCGTTTAAACCACTACACCAACCGATGGATTCTCTTCTTGATACCCCTCATGACTTCTACTGCTCGCTGCCCGAAGGACGTTTATTCTCACATCTTAGAACCTACTTATCATGTAATAGTCGAGTCGATTATAATAATAATGGAAATTACGAGTAGTCGGGGAATTTCTCCCGCCAATGCTCTGGCTGTGGGGCGAGCTCCCTATCGCAGTATAATTTTTTTAAAGATGCGCATGCGAGTTGATTTCCTTAGGCTACATTAACAGCATACGTATTATAAAAAAAATACCAGACGCGGGATGTCTGGCAGATCTGCAACCTAGAAAACATTTTGTAAAAATAATGCGTATCTTTCTCTTTAAAAAGACAACTCCATTAGGAATATATCCTGTGTCGCGGGGGACTTTACAAACATACATGAAACGGATACAAAGAACACCCAGACTTAGAACAACGATTTGTGGATCACACAAAGTGTCGTCCCATGTGGGGGATTTGACCCACAACACTCACCGTAGTAAGGCGTGGCGACCGCTTAAGCCACTGCACCATCCGTGCAGTCAAAAAGGAAAGTCTATGAAAGTAAATAATAAATATAGCACGATTAAACATATAGCCACACCGCTATGTTACTATCCCACAGCGTGGCGACTCATGCTGTGGCACGCGTCGCCACGCCAACAGCCGGACTAACTATCCACAATGAATCATCAAAAGTAAGTACTGTCGCTCGCTTGCTTCTCTATCTTTTGCAAAGGAAATAACGCAGTGACAGCCAAATTAATAAAAGTTGAGAAAACCAGGCCGAAGTTATAATGCTACGCAGACAGAGTAGCGTTCATTAGCTAGTATTTAATATAACAAGACAAAACCATTACGAGATACAACACGGAGTCAATAGGTCTCCTTCCCACACACGTGCACAACAAGAATTCAGTATTTGCAAAATACAGCCCTAGAAATGTCAAACAACAGTATCTTATAATAACAAGGAAGCCATTTTGTTTTTTTTTAAATAGAACGTTAGTTCGAAGTTGCCAGTTTGGAAAATGGACGTGTGGTTATTGGTATCGAGTTTTTTGTTTTTAAAGTTGTGTTCGGCCAGTTTTCACGAGCAGTATAGAGGTAAATTAAATCTTTGTCGCCTTTGTAACCCTTTTTGTAAACAAATATGGCGCTCGGCAACATTTCAAACATAAAGTTAAAATAAATGTAAATAAAAACGGCTATATAAAACTATAAGGGTCCAATACATATTTTGATATCTTATTCTTATAAATATCTCTAAAAAATTAGTTTTGTGTATTTAACTTTTTTTTTTAAAGATAACTCCCGCACTAGGAATATGTCCTGTGTCGCGGAGGACTTTACAAACATACATGGTAACGGACACAAAGAACAACGTGAAAATTAAATCATTAAGTAACTTTTAGAAAAAAATATGTTATAAATATATAGACAACTCTTTAAATACATAGTTTTAGAGTTATAGTAAGATTTCACGTATTTACTAAAGTTTATTCAATATTTTATACTATTATTTATATTTTTATATATCACTATCCTTTGCCCGAGGCTCCGCCCGCGTGTATGTCGGTTATTCCAGTAAAAATAATCAAACTATCCCCATACCAAATTTCATCTGAATCGGTTCAGCGCTTATTGATTCCCTGTTCAAACTTCCACCCCTTTTCATCCCCTTAAATGATTGAAATTCTATTCTAGATGAGTCAGCTGTCACGCACTGGCACGCTCTCTAAAAAAGCGTGCCAGTGGCAGTAGAGAATAGTTCAAGGGAATCGGAAGTGTTTTCCGCTAGTCCCAATAAAATCTGTGTAACATATCCATACTAAGGAGATGTCCAGCAGTGTACTATTATAAGCTGTTGACGTGGTGATGTGATGTGATAAAAATCATAAATGCGAAAGTGTGTTTGTCTGTCTGTCTGTACGGTTCAGCGGCGATTAGATATTTTGGTACAAAGATGGTCTGAATCCCGGGCAACGACATAGGGTAGTTTTTATCCCAGAAATCATACTTTAAGGGGGTGGAAAGGGGGGGAATCATGAACCGCTGAACCGATTTAAATGAAATTTTGTATGGAGATACTTTGATTCTTGAGGAAAGACATTAGATACTCTTTACCGTGATAACCAACATTTACGCGGGCGTATATATTGCTCCGTGTGGTGACGGATTAAGAATACAGAGTGTCACCACCCCTATTCATCCCGTGGGTGTCGTAAGAGCCGACTACGGGAAAAAACTACGCATAACAACATCACTGCAGAGAGAAGGAAAACTTGACACAAACCCTATACCAACCCGTCTGGCCAGCGAGGTATAGTAGGCCAAAACCTCCTTTCTAAGGAGTAGACTGGTAAAGGCTGTTGATGTGATGATGCACTGATCTGTGAAGATATGTCTGCGTCTCTCAAAAGGAATATATTTTCCTCATTTTTTCAACATTTTTAATTGATACTCGGGTCCTATTGGACTTACCTGGTTCCCCGGCTATTAGTACCCGAGACGGCGTGCGGTTTTAGTCGGTTCGAGTCCGACATGCCACCGATAGGTGGTAAATAAACTAGAAATTTATGTATGTAATATATCATCTATATTACATACATAAATTTCTAGTTTATTTAGAATCTAACCGTGGGAGAGCCATGTACCGGCCGTTGAGCCGTTTTGACGGTAACGATACCATTATCTCACAGAAAACTGGTGTTAAGCAATTTTGTCGTTGGTTTTACATCGAGAGGGTGATGTTACCAGGGCCCAAAAGCCCCCCTCTCCATATTTCTGGGGGTGTGGGACTCAAAGAGCCGGCACACACTTGACTTTAGGTCACTTACCATCAGGTGAGCCGTCTGCACGTTTGCCTCCGTATGAAAAATCCTGAAACTATAGAGATAATACGGATGCAAGGTATTGGATTATCTGTAAGTGGAATAGCGACATCGGTAGAAAGAGAAAGAAGACAGCGACCACTTCGTGCCCACAAGAGGTGCGAGAGAAACGCATGTAAATCGCTTTCTACTAATTCTATAATTCTCTTTCTACTAACGTCCCCCGATCGTGGCTTGCATTTTAATGCTAAATTTAAACTGACATATAATAAAATAATCATAATAACATTTCGGACATCTAATACACAACTCCATCTAGTTTCAAACTAAACAGGGCTTGTACTATGAAAGCTTGACTAATAGAATACTTATATTATTTTTTTGTAAATACATACATATTATACATAGGTAACACCAAAACTCCGAAACAAAGATTTGAAGATCGTACAAAAATTTGGTCCGCCCGGGCATCGACAATGTTTGATTTTGTACTTTTTTTGTTGCAGTACCTAGCTACGTTGACACTAAATGGGAGTCCTTCGTTAGTGGCAGCACTGAGTATCTTATTCAAAATTCACTGGTCACTTGGGAAAATGCTATGATACTTTGTAGGTAAGAAATTGGAGAACACTATTTATTATTAATAATATTAATAACCTCACACATCACACACACGGCCGTCTGGTTTCAAACCAGGCAGAGCATGTACTATAGTAACCAAACTGCTGATATACCTAAGTATATTTCTAAATCATCATCATTACTTTCTTTTCTTTTTTATAAAAAAGACAACTCCCGCACTAGGAATAAATCCTGTGTCGCGGGGGACTTTACAAACATACATGAAACGGACACAAAGTACACCCAGACTCAGAACAACAATTTGTGGATCACACAAAGTGTTGTCCCATGTGGGGTTTGAACCCACAACACTCGGCGCAATAGGAAGCGGCGCGGCGACCGCTTAAACCACTACGCCATTCGTGCAGTCGATCTTTAATAGTCCACTGCTGGACATAGACCTCTCCTTAGAAAAAAGTTTTATCCTAATATACCACTTCTAATAAATACATATTATAGATAAATTGCACCCAGCCACAGAACAACTGATCGTGCTCATCTCACAAATTTTTGTTCTGGGTAAGAATCCTCTGGCATAGCAGTCAGGGTTAACCACTGTGCTAGCAGGCCAGTCAACATTAACTTTTTTCTTTCTTTTAAACCTAAAACGTACAATTTTTTTCAAGAAAGCAAACTGTTGTGTTGTCGTTATTGTCTTCTCAATCACAGGACGAAAACACGGGCCACCAGCCAACAACAAAAACTGCATGGGGCAGAGTAAGACACTTGCCCCACCTTTTCCGGCATTTGTTTCTCTCAAAAATCTCTAATTATGACAGTTATGACATTTTAAAAATTTCTGAATTACTAAAACACAAATCAGCTCGCGTACAGCTAGCTTATTCGGTGTGGTGACCGATTAAGAATACGGAATGTCACCATCCCCATTCATCCCGTGGATGTCGTAAGACAGCGGAGGACAGCACTGCAAAGAGAAGGAAAACTTGTCACAAACCCGAAAAAATCCAGGACAAGATAAATCCTTTTTAAAAACAAGTTGAACGGCCTTCAAAAACTAACAAAGAGCACTAAAAACCTACCAGCAATCGCGGTTGATTTGCTGTCATTCTTTTGAAGAGTTCCGTTGTCTGTCTTCGAAACTCCTCATCAGATCTATATGAAATTTAAATGGGACCATTTCGGAATAAATCCCTTTCGAACAAAAAAATAATTTTATGACGGAGCTATGCCCAAACATACATAAAAAAAACATCCGAATTGATAACCTCCTCCTGTTTGAAGTCGGTTAACAAAAAGTAGTTTACGTCCAATTTAAACCATAATTTATCTGTGACCAAATTTAATCCAGATTCGTTCAGCGGTTCTGGCGCTATTGAGTTTTAAATTGCCATTTATACTGTCGCGTTTATAGTAGTTTTCCTTCTAAGACCATAACTAAACAACTAATAACTTGATACAATCCTTATACCAAACCGTCTGGCCAGCGTGGTATAGTAGGCCAAAACCTCCTTTCTAAGGAGAGGCCTATGTCCAGCAGTGGACTATTAAAGGCTGTTGAAGTGTGTGTGTGTGTTTATAATAGTAATAAGATCACAATTTGCAGAGGCTATCACAATGCAACGCTGGCAGTTGTCGACACAAGGGAAAAAGCAGAATTTTTGGCTGAAGCCTTATCAGAGTCACAGTTTGGTAAGCATTATAGCCATTTTATTAGCTTATAATTTAAATCCTAGGACTTGGTATCAACATCCTCCGAGCCTGTTTCTTAACTAGGTCGGAGCCGGCAATTATTCTACTACGAAACGGCTGAACTTCAGTTTTTAACTTGGAAAGACTGCCATCAGACCTTCGCAATCCAAGTACTAGGAGATATCGAAGTCTTGTAGATAGACTGTTGTGAAACTTTTTAAGGCACCACTTATCTATAACGATTGCCACGGGTGCTCTCCGAGTCACGGAGGGGTCTTAATTTATAAGGAATGACCTGGCTTAGATTGCTTAACATTGCAATACCGCCGATAAAATTAAAAAGGAGAGGAAAATTATGATTTGATGATAGTGATGAGTAATAATTATTAGGAATAATAATGCAATTTACAAAAACTAATAAAATTGTCACGACTTTTATATTTCTAATAAACGGTAGAACATCACGTTTTATTTCAATACTGTACGGGTATAATGACTGAATGCTTTGATCAATAATAGTACTATTATTGATCGAAGACTGAAAGAGTTGTTCTTATCAGATTTGTCCATAAAGTTATATCTGAAATTTGTCAAAAGAAGTTTTTTTTTTAACCCATCATCATCATCACCAAGTTCGCCACTACAACTAATCCTGTGCTGCACGAATCTTAATTCATTATGGCAACCCTTACCGATTACAAAAAATGTTTGTCTCCTTTAATTATATAGTATTAACTGTCATTATATTTCAGATATAACAGCAGTATGGGTAGGAGCCAGGCGGGAGTCAGCCGAAGATCCAGCAGGATACCGTTGGGCGCCAGGCATGGAGCTCAGAAGAACTGCTTCAGATGTTCTGGCTAGTGAGAGAGATGAGAACCTAAACAGACGCTATCCTGTGGTAACTATCTGTAGTGATCTCAAAGTATATGCTCAATTTTTTCGTCTTTTCTTGGATAATGCGAATAAGACTTTCAGTACTTCATCTTTATCATCAACAGCCGTTAATAGTCCACTGCTGGACATAGGCCGCTCCTTAGAAAGGTGGTTTTGGCCGTCCCCCTTTTTTTTTTCCGTGCGGAAATCCCCTCGGATACCACCTGTCGGTGGCATGTCGGACTAGAACCGACTAAAACCGCACGCCATCTCTGGTACTAATAGCCGGGGAACCAGGTATACCCTAGAAAGGAAGTCCCTGGTGCAAAGCCACGTGTCCCTCTGGCCTCGGGTGACAGATATCTAGGGGATGCAATCTAGCTACTATTTGGGGAATTTAAACATAACCCACTTACTTTATTTCCGACTAGCTGAGACCCGCGGTGTTACCCGCGTTTGTTGTTATAACCGCGGGCAGCGCCGCGGGGCGAAGCTAGTCTAAAAAAAGTAGCCTAAGTTACTCCTTATGTCATCAGCTATCTGCCAGTGAAAATCCCGTCGAAATCGGTCCAGCCGTTCCAGAGATTACCCCGAACAAACAGACAGACAACAATTGTAAAAAATGATATTTTGGCATATGTACCGTGTAAACATACATATGCATTTAGTAAAAAGCGGCTATTTTAATATTACAAACAGACACTCCAATTTTATTTATTTGTATAGATGAACTTCGTTGCGGGTTCCAAAACAGTTTATCTTTTTCTGGGACTACCCGAGTGCCATAACTCGGTGTGTTCATGTGTCACTGCTGTTGATACTGGTGGAGGTGTAGTAGTAACAGCAGTGGGCTCGTAGGAGGTTTAGTCCCCAATCTTCATGTATCGCAGCAAAAATTGGTCTATAACATTGAATCGTACGTATCATCCAAGTGGAAATGATGAAGCTGCTGAGGTGGATGTGCAGTGTAATCAAGCTTGATAGGATCCGTAAGACCAAAGACGAGTGGAAGGATGTAGAATTGAGAGATCTGACCTTCAGATCTTAGAGGTCGTATCGGTCACACTAAGAGCATTCTTTTTCAACTACTTATTATGCTCTTCTACCAACCAACTTAAGATAAAAGAATAATAATAAAAATAATAAAAAGTTTATTGTGTCAAATAATTAGTATACAGAGAGTTGTGTTCAGAATCTTCTTTTAAGCAAATTTGCCTGGAGTAGAAAATTCCGCTCCCCCATATTTACATAGCATGATTTAACACAATAATGTGGAATATTAAGGTAAACTATTAGGAAACATTATTTTAAATACAAAATTATTTATGTTTAGAAATGTTTGTGTGTGTGTGTGTGTGTGTGTGTGTATGTGTGTGTGTGTGTGTGGATATGTGTGTGTGTGTGTGTGTGTGTGTGTGTGTGCGTGCGTCTGAGTGTTGTAACAATGCCTCTGTGTCCTCGTATGTAAGTGGTTTTAGAAATAAACGTTAGTAAAGAAGAGAAATAGTAGTAACATACGCATGGCTCCAAGTAACTAATTAAATTCTTCGCCTTGCTTGCTCAATATATAAAATTCTCTTGCTTCTAATTCAGTGGTTGAACAGAACCCACGTACCAGTTCCTGAAGGCGGTGCTGATTGTGTGGCGTTAGAACGGGTGAACCACGACCGCCCAGTTTTTCTGGACTTGTCCTGCACATTAATGAGGCCGTTTGCTTGCCAAAAAGGTAAGACTCTTACGCTTAGATTATTTTATTTGCGCTTGTTTGTAGGACACTGCCATATTTGGCATTTTAAAACTGCGGTATAAACCCGGTCATATATAAGGGTTCTCCATAAACCGTCTTACGCTGATTTGGTTGTTTCTGTGCCACTTCACAAATACAGCATACGCATAAAAAAAATGCTTTACTATAAGCACTTTTACATGCTTTATATTAGCTTCACTTGTATGTTTGTTTGTATGTTTGTAACCGACTCCTTTGGGCGTGATTTTGACTGACTTTTAACGGTCAGAATTCGTTCAAACTTTGTAGATATATCGAGGACCGATGATTAGTGTATTACTAAATAAAAGAAAAAACTAAAAAACACGCTTTCTATACGGTTTTTTTTTGCGGTGCTTTTTACTATTGACAACAGGTTACCAACGCTTTTTTTTCAACTTTATTTTCTATGTTTTAGTTTGGTTTTCTATAAAAAGCGTGTTTTTTAGTTTTTCAAAACTATATTTTTTTTTTCCCAAGTTCTTGCATTCCAAGGAGCCCCGACCTCCCCATTTTTTTTTACGTGTAGAAACCCCTTCGCGCCCTTACCCCACTGGGGTTTGCGGCGGAGTGGTATGTCAGAATCGGACAGACTAAAACCACTCTATGCGCCTGTAATGGGTGAGATCCGGGAACTGCTGTTATTAAGACATCCAGACAGCCTTAATGGTGAACAGTCAGGCAACCTTAACGAGGCCATAATTCTTGGTTACAGAAGCTCAGCCAGCAGCTCAAGTGTCTCAAGTCCATATTGTTAGATGTAGAGCTGGTTTATACCACTTGTTTAATGGTAAACTGACCTGGCATGAAGCGGCAGCATTCTGCGTTCTCAGAGGAATGACGTGAGTTATTAATTTTCATTAATTACTGGTTATATCATCAACAGCCTCTAGCAGTCCTCTGCTGGACATAGGCTTCTCATTAGAAAGGAGGTTTTGGCCTACTATACCACGCTGACCAGACAAGTTGGTATAGAGTTGGTGTCAAGTTTTTCTTCTTTTTGCAGTCTTGTGTAGTTTGCTCCATTAGTCGGCTCTTACGACACCCACGGGATGAATATTGGTCGTGACACTCCGGAGTCTTAATCCGTCACCACACGGACTATATATTATTTTCTGTTTCTAACTTTGACAAGATAAATCCTTCTACAAAAAGTTGAACCGACTTCAAACAATACTAACAAAGAGAACTGAAGACCTAGCAGCAATCGCGATTGATTTGCTGACATTTTTTGGAGTGTTCCGTTGCTTGTCTCCGAAACTCATCATCAAATCTAGAATATAAGAAATTTAAATGGGACTATTTCGGAATAAACCATGCTCTATAGCGTAAACGGCTTTTTATGGATTTTGACGTTTGAGGTGTCGTTTAAATACGTCTTAATCGTGAGAATGACGCAGAGTTTAAAAAAAAATATATAATATTGCTAGTTTGTAAATTTTAACTAGTTTTTGTTTTTAGTTCAATAATAAACTTGTTTAAATAATGTTTATATTTAACAGGTTGGCAAATATCGCAAGTATGAAGTGTTTGAAGAAATTGGGCATGACCATGTTGAAGAATCGACCTAGTGAGTGTGTTATTAAATATTTATGAATGTATTGTCGCCGTGGGAGAGGCACGGTTCTGCACAAATGGGCCAGCAGTGCTAATATCTATGGAAATAGCCTTGCGTACAGGCATCAAACTTCAAACTAAGTTCGTTTGAAATTCGACGCTGTGACAGCTCTGTAGCGTCGAATTTCAAACGAACAGGCAGGATATGACACACATATACATACATATATAGATATTAATACACATAAATACATATACTTTATATTCGTACACTGTAAATAGGGAGGTGTACTATTGAGTAGGTATTTCCGCACCGCAAATTTCTGCCTTTTGTTTTAATCTATTTTTCGCGTATTTTGTTTCTTATTTCTAATCAATGTAACGCAACCACAGTGTACCACAGGGGAACATGGCAGTATACAGCTAGTATATCATCATCAACAGCCTTTGATAGTCCACTGCTGGACATAGGCCTCCCTGAGAGAGCAGGTTTTGGCCTACTATACCACGCTGTTTTACAGGGTTTTGTGTAAAGTTTTCCTTCACTCTGTGGTGCTGTTGTCCTGCGTAGTTTGCTCCCTTCGGCTCTTACGACACCCATAGGATGAATAGGAGTGGTGACCGTCCGTATTACACCAGTATCATCATCATCAACCGCCTATACTAGTCCACTGCTGGACATAGGCCTCTCCTTAGAAAGGAGGTTTTGGCCTACTACACCACGCTGGCCAGACGGGTTGATATAGGGTTTGTTTCAAGTTTTCCTTCTCTTTGCAGTGCTGTTGTCCTGCTTAGTTTGCTCCCTTAGTCGGCTCTTACGACACCCACGGGATGAATTGGGGTGGTGACAATTTGTATTCTTAATCCGTCACCACACGGACACCAGTATATGACATGTATAATATTTATTTCTGATGTATGTTCATCAGAGTTCTAAAACTATATCAAATGTTTGTCTAGATATTTCCGTAAGTATAAAGCAATAAGCTGTATAGGTAAGCTTTCGTGGAAAGAACAAAAATCAATTCATGTTTAAATATTGATAAACGTGTCACCTCTCCGATTTTATATTATGTCGTAAAATGGATTACTCTGCGTAATCCGGATCGTAATTCCAATCTGGTAGTTGATGGTATAATAATGGCTATAAAAAAGATAAAAAATTACAAAATGTTTTACTAGTAAAACCCACGCGTGCTAAGTGGCACTTAAAGATAATCAGATAAATTAATCAGATTCTAAATACTTCACGATATAAGTAAACTTTAAAAAAAGTTTTATTCTTTATCTCCTCCTTTCTATCTCCTATTTTGACTGCACGGATGGCGTAGTGGTTTAAGCGGTCACCTCGCCGCTTCCTACTGCGCTGAGTGTTGTGGGTTCGATCGAGATCGATAGGGAAGAGGGGGTAAACGAGTAAACGGGTCACCTGTTGCAAACGTCTGTAACTCAGGAGTCACAAACGCGTTGCTGTCCTTTTAGAAAGGAGTACGCTCATTTCTTGAAGATTTGAAGGTTGTATCGATTCGAAAATACCGCAGATGATAACTTGTTCCACAGATTACATAGCAGAGAAAATAGTATCTTTAATTTTTTTAAGACAACTGCTGCACTAGGAATATATCCTGTGTCGCGGAGGACTTTACAAACATATATGAAACGGACACAAAGAATACTCAGACTCAGAACAACAATTTGTGTCAACAACACAAAGTGCTGTCCCATACGAGGATCGACCTATAACCCTCAGCACAGTGTAAGCGGTGAGTTGACCGCTTAAACCACTACGCCACCCGTGCACAGTGAATTAATGCATTATATTTTTACTGGTGCAGGTATGGAGAACGCATGGGTAGGAGCAAAAGGATCCTTGGGCAAGTGGACCTGGATCGACACCGGAGTTAACCTGTTCCAAACCCCAGATTTGGGAGACGTTTCACCCAGTATCTGGCCACCCATGAGGTATGTACATAAAAAATGGAAGCAGTGCCTCTCTTCATAGTAGGTTATTCAAAATCTGATGCCCGTCCACCTTCCCTTTTACCTTTTTTCTGGCATAGAGGGGGCAAACAAGCAGTCTGGTCACCTGATGGTAAGTGACTGCCCCCGCCCATGGACACCTGCAACTCGAAAATCACAAGGGCATACTGAACTGCATAACCCGGTTTTTCTGTGAGGCCGTAGTATGGTACGTGCCTTCCCTTTCCAAATTCTAACTCCCAATTTTCCCAACTTTAATTTCCCAAGTGCTCAGTAAACGGCAATAAGTTTTCCCAAAATTACGTGTGTGTGTCTGTGTGGTGACGAATTAAGAATACGGAGTGTCACCACTCCTATTCATCCCGTAAGAGTCGTAAGAGCCGACTAAAGGAGCGAACTACGCAGGACAACAGCACTGCAGAGAAGGAAAACTTGATACAAAACTTACGCCAACCCGCCTGGCCAGCGTGGTATAGTCGGCCAAAACCTCCTTTCTAAGGATAGGCCTATGTCCAGCTGTGTACTATTAAAGGCTCCTGTTGTGATGATAAAGTGAATGTAGGTATATACACCATGTTTTGTCTCACCAGGACAAGATCAGCCAAACAAATCGCAAAGTTGTTTAGGCCGAAGTATTGCTGTCCCACAATAGAAATAGTAGGGACAATTTTATCATAGAAGTGAAGTTCCGGCAAGCAGACCAAAGGCACGGAAAAAGATATTCTATGAATGTACTATTTACGTAATAAAACAAAACCGAATACTAAAAAGTGTAGACTAGAAGAGAAAGGACGTAACTAGATATTAATGTTTACTGATTTTACATCTCGTGCGCTCGTTATAAAACGTAATTGGCCGTTAAACAGTGAAAATATAAAACCTCGCCACACTACGCGTGTCACGAAATCGATTGGCCGATTTTTATTTATTTATTTTATTTATTATTACGCATGTGTGTGGTAAGGGATTAAGAATACGGAATGTCACCACCCCCATTCATCCCGTGGGTATCGTAAGAGGCGACTTAGGGAGCAAACTACGCAGGACAACAGCATTGTAAAGAGAAGGAAAACTTGAAACAAACCCTATACTAACCCGTCTGGCCAGCGTGGTATAGTTGGGCCAAAACCTCCTTTCTAAGGAGAGGCCTACGTCCAGCAGTGGACTGTTATAGGCTGTTGATGATGATTTATTTATTACAAACTATGGAGGATTTACAGCTATGATGATCACAATAAAAGCAGTCAAGAAAACACATAGCCAATTACAAATCCTCACTTATATAAATCAGAGATAAGTTACAGCGCATAAGACAATACAGAATATGATCAAGAGGTATTATATAAGTTACAGGCACAGATCACTTACAAATTACACAGAACGTAATAATATACACAAAAAACAGACAGGACCCATAACAATAACTCCATCACCCCTGAAGAATTTAAGGCTTAAACACCTCCTCGCTCCCGTTACACTAACATTAAAAATAACAATTCAAAATTGTTCACACACATTATTGAGGCTTCTAGTTGAACGAATAACAAAAGATTTTTTTCTATAGTTCGTCAGTGCAAATGGTACACTCAGCGGTGGGTTATAGCGAGTTCTTGAAGGGATTATGAATAATAAACTTAGATAAAAGTCCGCAGCAGTCAATTTCGTTACTAAAAATTTTTAATAATAGGGTACAATCAGCGATTTCACGACGCGTTGTAAGAGGTTATCTTTACTTAGTCCAGAAGAGAGTCATGACCTCTAGAACTCTGGATTTGGGACTTATACTTTTTTTTATTTCTTGCAGGGACAGAAACAATGTAAAACAAAGTGGATGTCTGCAGCTAGATAGGCATGCTGCGCATTCACCAGTGTTCATGGAAGCCAGGTGCGATAGGAAGATGCAGTTCATATGTTATGAAGGTAATTAAAGCCTAAACTTTTTGTTCTTCGGTCTAGATTCAGGGTTATAAAGTTTTTCACTATTGGTGCCGTAGAACCTAACTTTTTAACCTGAAGGCCAATTCTCGTAATAAAAGTTCTGTTACAGTTCAGTTCCGATCAACTTTCGATCTCACAGCCGGTCGAAAATTGGCACACAGTGGTAGAGTGTCATTTTGACCGAACTTTTATTATCTACGAGAACTTTATTGGAATTCAATCTGTGAAAGCAACCATCGCCTGCGGGATTGACTGATATGACCTTCAAACCTTAAAAAAAAACAACAACAAGCATTTATGACCCTTGTGCATGGGTGGTAGTCACTTTATCACTGTCAGCTTTGAGTTTGTCCTATATATAAAAAAAAAGCACCGGAAAAATATCGAACTTCTGAGTTAACGAAGAAACAAGATACGGCCATTTATAACGCATATTTCGATTCTCTCAAGGAAATCTAAATTTATAGGGTACTGACCGTTGACCACGGATATTGTCAAATCTAATGTTCGGTAGTCTATGGTGTAGTTTTATAACAATAATAATTTCACACATATTATACACGGCCGTCTGATCCCAAACTAGGCAGAGCCTGTACTATGGTAACCAGACTGCTGATAAACATACTTATATATTTTTAAATACATACATATTATAGATAAATTACACCCAGACACAGAACAAATGACCGTGCTCATCACACAATATTTGTCCTGGGTGGGAATCGCACGGCTTAGCAGTCAGGGCCACTAACCACTAGACCAACTAACCCGTTTGGTCATAATACTCTAAGAAATTAATAATACATAAACATAAACTTATACATAATATTTGTGGCCGTGGTGCTTCCCTGTTTAAAAGGGTGTATGCCCATTTTACTTCATTTTGTCTCCCGCTTTGCTAAGGAGGGAAGTGGATTTACTGTATTTCCAACTCCTCCAATTTTCTTCTGATTAATTTCGTTGCGGGTTCCAAGACAGTTTAATTTCCCTCCTAAAGTCCTGGGACTTCCCGAGTGTCATAACTCGGTGTGTTCGTGGGTCACTGCTGTGGATCCTGGTGTACAGGAGTTACAGCGGTGGGCGTGTGGGTGGGATTAGCCCCTAAAAAAAAACATAAACTTACTACTTCTGTTTACAGTATATATACTACTAACACATATAAATATGCACATAAACAAATAATACAGAGCTTCATAAATACACAGATCCTTTATAACCAATGTCGTTCCTTAAGCGGTCTTCACAATGTCAAGTAGTAATTTCTGACATGTTTAAGTTTTGCAAAGATTTAGCTTGTCTAATTGCCTTTTAGGAAAAAACGTTACAAATAAAAAAAATATGCAAACAAAATTATACCCTCAACAATTGACGTTTGGTTTTATAATCCCATTTACAGATGAAATAAGAAAATCAATTCAGTACAAAAAACTCCAAGAAGCTAAACTTCTCTTACTTAATACTTATGTTTTAAAGCTTAATACTAATGTTTTAAAGCTGAAGTTTGTTTGTTTAATCGCGCTAATCTCAGGAACGACTGGTTCGAATTGAAAATTTCGAATTTAAGTGTTGAACAGCCCATATATCGAGGAAGGCTACAGGCTATTGTAGCGCCATAGGATTAAATGGTTCGATTATTAAAGAATTGTATGAAATGTGGAGGACTGCGCCATCTAGTATCGAGTATAGTACAACTATTAAGATTTGTGATTAAAAATTCTGATCTTACTTATTATATACCCCGCTCGTAACACTATGTAACATAAATCTACGACCTATAGGAGCTGAGCACTAATGAAAGATATTGCGAAAAGGGGGGAAAGGGGGATCGCACGTATCGCACGACGCGGATCAGCTAGTCAGTGATATACCTACAATGACATATTTAACTCTAAGCGTATGGTGTTGGCAAATGGAGTATTTAAGGCCAATGCGGCACGTGCCCAGTGTAGTAGGTTCCTAGGGGCTGCAGTCTACTCGCATTCATAATCGTTACCTACCCCTTATTTGCAGTGTTTCCACTTTAATGATTTCTTTTCTCCACTCCTCAAATCAAATTTCCCCTTCTCGGGGCTTTTTTCCCCTCAAAAATTTTTCTGCTGTAGTTTTTACTTTTGGCCCTAGTGTAGTAACTAAAAAAAAAGGTCTTTATCGATTTTCTTCTAGCCAGCCCACGCCTCTGGTGATCCTATACTATGAAATTTATAAAACTTGGGCTGTATACTCATAATATATTAGCCCTTAAACAGAATGGAAATAAGGGTAAGTATACGCCACCAGCACGTGTTGTCACTGTTTTATACGGCAACACGCTAGTCCACGGTAGAGTCCATAAAAAAATAGGTCCGAAATTTACCGCAATATTTTAAGCTAGGTTTTACCCATGATTTCCCTCATTTTCCCCTTTTAATGTCTTCCCCTTTTTCTCCCCCTATGGACCCTAATTTTCCCTGAAATGGGGAATTTCCCCTCATCGTGGAAACACTGCTTATTTGACATTTTTTGTACAGTGTTGCCATTAACAAAAGCCTAAATATGGCTACAATTTTTGTGCTCAAAGCGCCTAATATGAGAATACGCCTCTGGTAACATAAGAAGACATCTTGGAGAGGGACTAAAAATGTTGGGATAGGAAATTCCTTAGTACTTCTAGAAGGTAGTTCAACAAACACTCTGTAATGATCAAATAAGAAACTTATTCTCCATGTCTACACACAAATCTTGTGATCACGCGTATCGTATTCAAAATAAGAGTTCTTCAATTTGTTATTATGAAAAGAGAACCACAACTAATCATTGACCATGTTTCACCACAGATTATAGATAAAATCATGTCATCATCACTGGGATTACCTATCTATAATCAATTATCAACTTTAGTGATCTTTCTTGGTTCCAACGCTTCACACATTTTCAGTTGTAAAGACAACGGAAGATGTGTGCCGCTGATCACTGTACCCTTTGTATCTCCATTATAACATGTCATCGAAAATGTAACCTCTCTTTCTGATAAATTTGGGTGCTACATATTCGCCTCTCTATTACTGTGTGTGGGCTACATCTACGGGTGCTCTCATCATTGTCAAGTTATCAGTTTGCTCTGATATGAAAAAAGTTCAGGGTGATGTTTATGATTTCGGGGACTTCCTTTCTAGGGTATACCTAGTTCCCCGGCTATTAGTACCCAAGACGGCGTGCGGTTTTAGTCGGTTCGTGCCCAACATTCCGCACGATTCCCGAATTTCCGCACGGAAAAAAAAAAAGGATGATGTTTATGAAAAATGAAAAGTGAAAATACCTATAACGTATTTTTTTTTCTATTTTAGGAGCATTATCTACAAAAACGCAGGCAGCGACACCTAGTGATGATTTCTTCTACTACATTTTGGTCAAAAAGCGATTCTACTGGCAGCATGCGTACGAAAATTGTCTTAAAATGAACGGTACCCTTGCCAATTTGGACAATAACGATATTCTAGTCCAATTACTGCTGCTTATGGGAGAAAATAAAGAAGAACGTAAGTTTTAAATGATATTTTCTTTTATTCTTTATCGAAATAAATACTACTTCAACTACTAACGCCATCTAGTTGTTAATTATGAGTACGATATAAAGTTCCGTCATTGTACAGAGTTTTTATTTTATATAAACAAGTTACCTACAGACTATGTGAAAAGTATGTATTTGAAAATAGCCTTTTACGTGTGATAACCCTCTCGGGCCGTCAGCCCACTGGGTTTTGCTTCGTGTGGTGTGTTGGATCGAACTGACTATAACCGCCTGCGCCCGATATAAGAAGAATCCGGGAACAGCTGTTTTTAAGACATCCGGACTTACCGAGTACCGAGTGGTACCTCACTCGACAGGTTCTGAAAAAAAAAAAAGGAGATATGAAATGGCGCCAAAAACCGGCCTTTTTTATTTATCTTTTGCCCCATTTACCTACCTACAAACATTGTAATTTCAGCTATTGAACACATCTGGATTTCTGGCCGGTTAAACATGACAAAAGACGTCTTCACAGACGCCATCAGCTACGCTTGGTACAACCCAAACAATGCTAAGAGAATTCCTGATCCTAAAGCTTTTGGAGACTCCACCATTGGATTATACGTACGTATAATAAATTTCATCCGATTTGTATTTATTTCGTAGTTTGACAGGAGGCGGACCCGGGCTTAACTCCGTTCTCCACCTGGGTGAAGCACGAGGACTATATAAGGCCGTCTGTGAGATGTGTGAGGTATGGTCCCGTGCTCCAACCGATGATCAGTACAGTCAAGAAATAAAGATAAATACCTACATTATTTAATATTTTATCAGTATGATTTATTTTTATGCATTTATTTTCTGAATTTCTAAAGAAATTTCATTATTTATTAATTACATTTGCGAATGCGAAATAAACAGCGCCATTTCGAAAGTGGTTCATTGGTTTGACGTCAACAATTTACTATTAAATGAACAAAAAAACTAAGTTTCACTATGCCAAACGTCAAGCCAGTGAAAACTACCGCGATGATTGGATGTTGAGTTGGACCTTGTGGATACTACGACATTTTTAGGTATAACACTAGATTCTAAGCTATAGTGGGACCCACATACTGATAAATTATCGAGTAGACTCAGCTCAGCAGCATACGCAGTAAGGAAAATTCGAGAGTTGACTGATGTTGATACAGCAAGACTTGTTTACTTCAGTTATTTTCTCAGCATTATGTCGTACGGTATTCTACTGTGGGGGAATGCTGCCGACATTCAAACTATTTTTGTACTGCAAAACAGAGCGATTTGAGCACTTTATAATTAGAGCAATTTAATCTTTTTTCCAAATCTTATTTTTATTGTCTTTTTTACCTTTTAGTCCTTAATAACGGACACACTGGCACACATCCATGATGCCATTGTATTTATCTGTAAATTGCAAAAGAGTGGCCATGAGTTTGTTTAGCCTTTCTTCTCATAACCCTTAACCCCTTGAAAACGGGCGGTTGTAGATCGGCACAGGCATATCCTAGATTTTGTATAAGTATAATGTTTATTAAATTTATTTTCCTAACTATTTGACAAAACAGAGATTGTTGCTATTGTGTGTGTGTGTGTGTGTATTTATCTACGACTTAAGAGTCTACATAAAAGACGATTTCAAACAATAAAAAAAAAAGCTATTTTGAATTTGAATCGTAATTTTTTTTTTATTAATAAATAATTTTTCTTAGTGCGAATGCGGCGCAGTTTTCTTGCGAAAAGTCTAATAAGTCGGTATTTTTCGATATCACTGAGAGCAATATTTAGGGTAACATATGGCTCTTACGACACCCACGGGATGAATAAGGGTGGTGCAACTCTATATTCTTAATCCGTCACCACATGGAAATAATTGTGTAGATCTTTTGAATCATATAGGGAAAACAATTTACTGCATCACTGTACAAGAACATCATCAGTTGGACCCTATATAGTCTCCTTGCTTCACCCGGGTGGAGAACCTAGGTGAAGCACGTGTCCGGCTTCGTTTGTAACCGTTTCACCATACAACTTAGGCTATTTTTCTCTGAGATAAAAACGAAAATAAAATAAAAATGACCGAACCCACTAAGACAGCGCTTTTCAAATTCCACGCGAACGAGTTCGCGGGCAACAGCTAGAATATCAATAAATGGAAGGGTCACAGTTTGGCAGAAATTTACCAGGCTCAACTGGAGTTATGCCACGGCGTCACAGAAAACCGGTGTGAAGTACTTCTCTTGCTGCTTTTCACCGAGTGACTGATGTTATCGAAGCCAAACTCCTCCCTAATTCTGGAGACTCAAAGGAACACACTTGTGTCTCTTAAATTGCAGACTGCACGGATGGCCTTGTGGTGTAAGCAGTCACCTCACCGCTTTATACTGCTGCTAAGTGTTGAGGTTCAAAAACCACATGGGACGACAATTTGTGTGATCCACAAATTGTTGTTCTGAGTGTGGGTGTTCTTTGTGTCCGTTTCATGAATGTTTGTTAGGTCCCCCGCGACACAGAATTATATTCCTAGTGTGGGAGGTGTCTTTTTAACCGACATAACCACCGGTGGGTAGCATCCGAGGGGATTGCCGCACAGGAAAAAAAGGTGTGTTTTAAAAAAATTTATTAAACTTCTTTTTTTATTCGCTAGATGCCGCCTTGGTTAGACGAAGAATTCAACATGGATAACTCTTGTTTGAACTTGGACAGACAAGATCACTTAATTGGACTCGTCTACGGGCTGCCGTGCGAGACGGCTCAGTATTCCGTGTGCATGATAGGTGGGTTAATTCTTATGAGATTTAAGAAATTACTCACCCTAATTGACTGATTCATCACATCATATCACATCAACAGCCTTTAATAGTCCACTGGTGGACATAGGCCTTTTCCTGGTAAGGAGAGGTTTTGGCCTATTATATCACGCTGGCCAGACGGGTTGGAATAGGGTTTGTTTCAAGTTTTCCTTCTCTTTGCAGTGCTGTTGTTCTGCTGCTTAGTTTGGTCCCTTAGTCGGCCTTTACGTCACCCTTGGGATGAATAGGAGTGGTGTGATTGTAATACTATATTCTTAATCCGTTACCATGCGGATTTCAATACAAAATAGTTCTAACAGTGCGTAAGTCAAAAGCAGGTTAAAATTTTATGGTAGTTCGCCACACGAAGATGGATTGGTTTCTTGTAACATTTTTTTTTCAAAATGTTATAGGTAGTTTTTTATTTTCTCTGAACTGAAAAGGTTTACCATAGAGAGAATAGAATTAGAGGGAAGAAGGTATTGAATGCGTATGAGTGGAATAGCGACGTCGGTAGAAAGGGAAGGAAGACGCCAAACACTTCTGGCTTTGACCTTTCTCTTTCTACCAACGACCTTAGATCGTGGCTCGCTCTTCTCTCCTCTATCTATATATTATCTCCACTGTGTTAACACACCTCAAGGAGCATTTTGCAGATTATAAATCTATAAACAATTGAGTGACTTAAGCTGTTTTAACCACGCAGGTTTACTGTTTTCTGACAGGTTAACCGCACAGATGGCATAGTGGTTTAAGCGGTCACCTCGCCGCTTCCCACTGAGTATTGTTGTGTCGATCCCCACGGGATCAATAAGGGTCGATACAAAGTTCGATCTTCCATTAATGGTACCAAATTTAATCTGAGGTACCAACATTTTAGACCCAGAAAACAATAACTTACAATCTCATAACAGACCTTCTTGAGATGTCAGAGTCTTACACTCCTTTTGCTTTCTTTGATAGTCTTTGCTCAATATTACTTTAATAAAATTAATTACTTCATTTGCAGACAAGTCTTTGAAGCCTCCGAGTGTGAGCCTTATGACGGGCAAGACCGTTGTCGAGACCACTTCTGACACCGGTTATGATTCGTCATAGGGAAATTGACATTAAAAGAATAAAACCTACTTTTTTATGAACAAAGGTGAATTATGTACAGTTTAATGTATTTATACCTACTTATAACTAAGGACCTGGATGACCGAAATTGAATGACAGAAATTTTCTAAAAATGAAACCCAGCTAGATCGATTAATCGCCCCCAAAACCCCCTGCATACTAAATTTCATGAAAATCGTTGGAACTGTTTTCGAGATTCAGATTATATATACATACAAGAATTGCTCGTTTAAAGGTATTCGATAGATAAAGGCATATGGAAAACAAAACAAGGAGCTCATTTTGGAAAGGCTCATTTTTAATGAACTCTTTGTTTTGTTGTATCTCAGTGTTATGTTGGTGATTTTTCGTTTTTTTTTTTAATTTCTTAGTAATATATATTTACAAAAAAATTACTAATACCTGCCTTATGTAAATTATAAATATTTAACGTGCTTGTTTAAAAAGATACTTAGTATTTTAAAACAATTACTAACGATTAATCATATTTCTACTGGAACATGGAATGACTCAGGAAAATTAAGAATTAAAAGGAATGAATATTCACATATAAAGTACCTACTTAAAGAATTTGTGAGATAATTAACGAGAAGAGTACCAGGCACTGATCTCTGATACACTGATCAGTGGTACCAGTAGATATACATCAGAGTATTTTTTTAGGGTAGAAAGCTTTGAACTGACTGTTAACTTTAGTTACCAAAAAAACATTGTATGTTTGTATTTCGTAATTTCTTTTATACATTGTCATAATTATGTAAAAATATACAGTTATGCACCTACCTAATAAATTCTTTTGTTTAACAATATTCTAAAGCTGGATTTTTGGTCGTTATGGCCACGCTGAGCTGATTCGATAGATGGTTTATCTAAGGTGAAAGGAAAATTTAAAAAACCCCATTTCTTTTCAAACGAAGTTATTGAACAATAAACTATTATTAATTTGTACGTGTTTTCTTTTCCTCATCTAATACAAAAATACTAAAATCAGTCTTAGCTGTTTACGAGTATTAAAATAAGACTTTTTGTTAATACTAAATTCATGGAATTAGCTTTGCATTTTATAGTAGAATCGCATTTTTTTTTTTTCCGTGCGGAAATCCCCTCGGATACCACCTTTCGGTGGTATGTCGGACTCGAACTGACTAAAACCACACGCCGTCTCGGGTACTAATAGCCGGGGAACCAGGTATACCCTAGAAAGAGAATCGCACACCCTTACATTGAAAATACTTGCTTACTTTTTGTAGTCTACTGGTTGGTAACACGAGTTTATCTTTATTTACGCAGCCTTACTAATAAACTTTAATAACAATGTATAACAGGGTTTTAATAAAAATGTTACCATCAAAACTATATTTGACGTTTCGGTTGTATACCTACATCTGGTGCACGGAGCCACAGATAGCCTGGGATGATCACCTAACATGGTCATAGGCTCCAGTCCCCTCCAAAAACAAATTCAACCTTGAGGGGCGGAACCAACACTTTTCTTTTACAATACATTTTTTTTATGGAGTTGATAATTCATTCGGACCCTTGCGGACGCAGAAGGTTCTACTAAAACCACCCCGACGCCTCGGGCGCCCTACTCTGAGGACCTGGATCCTGTGGCTTCAGGTCCTTCCTGAATAGACACCACGCTTAAACAGGCCCTATCCATCTTCCACAATACCTAAGCCCAAAACTTGTTTTATGCATTTGTATTTAAATTTATCTAGCTTTATAGAAATTAACCATGGAAAATAAACAAAAGATATTATTTAATAATTTATTATTAACATTATTTCACTTAGAACTATTCAAAGTCTCCAACCACTGTTTATTTACTTCGCCCAAATGTTTAAAATTATCATTCATTTGAAATAAACATTTTTTAAATTCTCTCAAAAGGTTTAAGTATAATTTAAGACTTCTGGTCACTCCTCGGATTGATTCGATTTCTAACGCCATTTCTGTTGCTTGTGTCTGTAAAAAAAAGAACATTGTTGTCTCATATATTCATCAACAGCTCTAACAGTCTACTGCTGGACATAGACCCCTCCTTAGAAAGGAGGTTTTGGCCTACTATACCACGCTGGCCAGACGGGTTGGTAGAGGGTTTTGTTTTAAGTTTTCCTTCTCTTGGCAGTGCTGTTGTCCTGCGTAGTTTTCTCCCTTAGTCTTACGACACCCACAGGATGAACAGGGGTGGTGACACTCTGTATTCTTAATCCGTCACCACACGGTAAGTGTAAGTCTCATATGTTAATATAGTCATATAGTAAAAGCCGATTAAAAGAGCAAACTATGTTGGACAACAGCACTGCAAAGAGAACTAATCCATTTTTTTTCGTATGGAAACCCCCTCGGGCCGTCACCCCACCGGGATTTGCGGCGGGGTGGTGTGTCGGAATCGGACCGACTAAAACCACACGGTGTACCACTCTGCGCCTATAATGGGAGAGATCCAGGAACCGCTATTATTAAGACATCCGGACCCCTGCTAGCGCCTGTACGCAATGGCGCGGGCACCAACTTCGGGTACATTCTCCATTTAGGCGGCATCCGGACGCCTCCTCGCGGCTGGCCTTTATGGCCGATGGAGGGGAAAACCCGTCCCGTCCACCTGCGGCCACACTCAAGACGGCATGAGGCGATGGTAAAAGAGAACTAATCCTACACCAACCCGTCTAGCCAGCGTGTTATAGCAGACCAAAACTAGTTTCTCAAGAGAGGCATATGTCCAGCAGTGGACTATTAAGTCTATTGATGATGTAGTCTCATAATTAGAATTTAAATTTTTAAATTTAAATTTAAAATTTTTAAATTTTATTTTTAAAATTAGGATCACCAGCAGCCATTACGTAAGTGCTTAAATATATAGGTACTTACCAATTGGAAAATGCAAGTTATGTAGTATACCTACTGACAGGTAATGTCAGCATGCATTAAGGTTCATACAGATTTACAAAATGTAAACTGAAATTGGGCATTTCAAATTGAAACTATGTTAAAATGTGTCGTGAACCATGTATATTTTCATAGATTGCATGCATAACCTCTGTGCACCTACCATCTATGATTTCTACACCACCCAAAGGTTGACTGGAAGACAATGCCTTGGGCATAAAGTCCGCCAATGTACAAAAGTGCATAAAGTTTGAAATTAATAATAAATAAATAAAACTTATTTTGGGGGTCAACTAGGTCTAAAAATCGACCCCTATTAAATGACACAAGTTCTTATTTGTTACTTTCAAGATGCTGTCTAAGATGTGTTACGTGTACCTACTTGTTAAAAATTTTAGTAGCATTTTACACAGAGATACAATATCACAGCCATGGAGGAAACCAATGTGATAATGCAAGAAAAGTTGATCACAACCAGCACAGACAAGACCAGGCTTCAGCAGAGGTTTAACCAAGGCAATCAGAAGTTTCGGTTGCAACGCAACATTGAAACACAATATCCTGCATTGTGGAACATTGTTGATAAATATCTCTCATCATCATCATACCAAGTCGAAAAATTGATGCAGTTACAAACATTATGAAAAAACAAAGAAACCGTCTGAAAATTACTGAAGGCAAAAATTAAGGCTGCAACTCTAGATTTATCTAGATTAGTACAAAGTCACCGGGTTCATCCATCAAACTAATTTTGCTTTTTTATCTTTACTTTGCGATTTACCTAATTTGTATTTATATTTATTAACTAGCTGAGACCCACGGTGTTACCCGCCTTTGTTGTTATAACCGCGGGCAAAGCCGCGGGGCGAAGCCAGTCTAAAAAAAGTAGAATAAGTTACTCCTTATGTCATCAGCTATCTGCCAGTGAAAGTCCCGTCGAAAACGGTCCAGCCGTCGCCAGCAGACAGACAGACAGACAAAAATTGAAAAAAATGTTATTTTGGCATGTGTTACCGTGTAAACATACATATGCCTTTAGTAAAAAGCGGTTATTTTAATATTACAAACAGACACTCCAATTTTATTTATTTGTATAGATTGCACGTGATATTTACTGAATTTTAGGTCTATTTATTTTCTTAAATTTTGATGAGAAAATGATATCAAGTTTACTTGCTTAACCAACCTTTGAAGTTGGAGATTTATATGAAAATATAGAATGTGGGCTATTTTTTTATCTTAGCTAATCTACTTTGATAAGCTGGCTATAATTATCTATAGAATTTTTGCTATTTTGATGGCAGTTTGTTTAACCCTTTACTGCAAAAGTTTGTTGGACGCAATGAAGTCAGCGAAGGCGTTTTGTAGTGCCTCACGGGTGTTAAATTTTCTTCCCAGTTAAAAATGACTAACTTTAAAAAAAAGTTGAAATCTGCTGGGGAAAGGACTGCGGTGGGTGATCGTAAGCTTTCAGCTGGCGATGGTCGTCGAAACGTAATGGGGAAGAGCGATTGACTATTGATGACGATTAAAAATTAAGCGTGAGTTATATTGGCCAAATTTTTATATTATTTCAATACATTAGTCAGCAGGGAATGAATATTGATCGATTTTCTGACAAAACCATACTCCATAGATAATTCGCTCTATTGCTAAAGTTAAACTGAAGTTAGTTACTCAATGCGTCAAAAATAAATATCATTGCGAACAGTAAATTACAATAATCAATGTTGTAACCATGAAGTAGAGCAAGAACTAATATATTCTTAGATACAATATAAAATATACCTAATGTATGATCAATGTAGAAAGTTGGTATTATTCCATAGGTACCAGCACAATTTTTACTTGGATTAACGAATAGGTCATTAATAGGCACGGTTTCCGATGTTATTGAAACACTTTCCCCACCACTAGTAAGCCCGTGGTCATTTACCTCATATCTGGGACCTCATACCGGCCCAGACAAAAGCAAAAGCATTTGCTAGGTTTTGTCCTCATTCCCTCCGTCCAGGTACAGAAGTCATCCACCTCACGCAGTAGTTCTTGGCACTGCTTTGGGTTACTGGTGAGGACCGCAAGGTCTAAAATGGATTCCGTACATTTTTCATTGACCTTAAACCTATCCCACCTCTTTTCGTATGTTGTGATATTGTCTATTAAGATATTTATAATATTTTTTTTTATTATTATTTTTTGTTTTATTTCGTATTTTTTTAATTTTATCAAAACAAGTTTTTAATTATATTTTTTGTTACTTTTAAGAATTTAAATTTTAAACATCGCTTGTAACTTTGTTCGCTTGGTTGATGGTATTATTTTTTTTTACTGTGGTCTCCTGTAAGTGAAGGAGTACACCGACTTTAAACCCATTCTGTTAATTACTGTTGTATATATTTTTACTTGTGTATATCTTTCGTAGGAGATTCTAATAAATAAATAAATAACTGTATTAAATACTACTGGTGATAAGTAGCAAGCTTGGAACAACTCTACGAGGGGTTTTGTATGTCCCTCTTTTACTGTGACTACAAATTTTAATTTACTGTAGTATGATGCAATTATTTCACAAAGTATTAGCGGAAAGTTATACCATTTCAAGGCAAATAAGATAAGCTCATGTCGTACTGAGCTAAAGGCGTTTTCTAAATGTAACCAACAGACTATAATTTTCTTTTTATTTTTCCTAGCATCTTTGAGACTTGCCGTAAGTAATAAGTTATGTTCCAGACATCCAGAGATTCCAGGCATGAACCCTTTCAGTCTGAAGTAATTATTGTTTGACATAACTGTATTATTTTTAATTGAAGACAGGAGATGAATATTTTCGAAATTGTATTGGTGAGGGCTATCGGTCTAGTGTCCCTGGGATCTATTTCTACACTTTTCTTAGGAATGAGGACAAAATTAGCTTTTCCAAAGGCTGTTAATATTTATTTGCTTGACCAGATGTTGCAGTATATACTTAGAAGGTGTTATGCACTGATGGTCATTTTTTATATACTATGTATGGTATACCAACAAGCCCTGGAGCTGATTTTGAATTTTGCCTTCTAATTTGGGTATCTACTTCTTCTAAGGTTGGCCGGTTACAATCAAACTTGAAACTAGGGCTTGCTGGGTTTTGTGCACTTGGTTCATGATAGGTCTTCTCATATGTTGGCACCTCGTACCTAGTTTTATAGTGTTGTGTATCTGGTCAGCTGTTAGAAGCAGTTGTCCGTGCTTCTCTTCAAAGATATTTCTAGAATATTGGTAAGGGTTTGGATCAAACTCCACTTAATGCTTTTCCTTATTATTAGTATGGAACTGCTGTTTGGGAACTATTAGTATGGAAGTATGGATATCTGTGTAGAAATATTTAAGTATGTTTATTAGCAGTCTGGTTACCATAGCACAGGCTCTGCCAAGTTTGGGATCAAACTGTCATGTGTGAGAAGCATAAAAAAATAATTACGTAATGAAATTATTCTTTTATAAAAATTTGGCATGTTCATTATACTTGTAGTGTGAACTCTTAAATGAAATAAACCCAACGGTTTAAGTAATTTTTTTAAATTTTAGAGATCATTATATCAAGTGGAGAAAGAAATACAACCAAAATCAATAGTATTACATTTCTTTGAATTGCGTACCATTTTACCTATATTACACAGGTCATACCCATACATTATGGGTTTTAAGGTAAACCAACAAAATTGTGCCTACCTTTATGTAATAGGAAGTACCAACATCATTTAAAGAAATCTTTGAACACTCTAATTGAAAGATCAATTTAAAAGCAGGTGAGGAAAGCAGAATAGTAGGCCAAAACCTCCTTTCTAAGGAGAGGCTTATGTCCAGCAGTGGACTATTAAAGGCTGTTGATGATGATGATGATGATGATAATAATGATGCAAAGAAAGCAAATCATTCTACTAAGAAACAACCTAGTTTTAATAGTTACACAGCAACAATAACGATAAATAACTGTACCTCAAGCCATAATTGCATTAAAATTGTAAGAACATAAATCAAAATGAAAGTTTTGGCTGCTTAAAAAGTAGTTAGGACTATCCTGGTAGGTTCAATAGAACTTATCATATACATATTTTCAATAGAATGGTTTATATTATAACATAATTTACCTCACGTTTAGACGATGTCGCGGAAGCGCTAGACATTCTTTTTGGTATGATTTACTTTAACTTATGTTTAAAAAGAAATTTATTTTTATACTTTCTCCAGGTTAAATTTACAAACAAATTAATACACAGTACTGGATCAGAATTTTTATTTATTTTTGTAAATGTAGACGGTTGAGTAAGTGTTGCCATCCTAGGGATTCAAAATTGCCAACACATTTCAAAGTGTCCAGATTATTGCAAAAACATTTACGTTGCTTATTCTCTATCGTTTCAGCTTTATTATTCTTCATTTAATCAATAAAATTTGCTTGTCTAAATACGTTAAAACATAAATCTAATATACTAACATCTTAGATAATATGGTATAAGCACTCTTCTAAGTAGAAAATAATGCTTAACATGAAATAGTAGTAATCAGACACGCGTTAGCTTGTCTTGCAGTCTAAAGACTTTTAATACACAAAGTTATTTTTAAGTTGATTCTCGTTTTATAATTTATAATCCACAATTTTATATTTGGAATTTTAAAATTTAACAATGAATTGTGGAATTTAATTCCAAGTTGTCATCTCAACGGCAAGGCCTTACGTCATATTCTGACGACGATTGACTGCCTCGGTAGTGCAGTGGTAGCTTATGCGACTGTGGTGCTGAGGTCTTGGGTCCGATTCCCAGGACACCCCAAATGTTTGTATGATCTGCAATATATTTGTTTTGCAGTCTGGATGTTTTCTATGTGTAATAAGTATGTATTTACAAAAAATATATAAAGTACAAGCTCTGCTTAGTTTGAAACTAGATGGCGTTGTGTGTCAGATGTCTGAAATATTTATTTATTCTAACTGACTAAAACCGTGCAGTGTTCCGTCGTAAGGTTTTATGCCAGAGCCTCTGGTTCAAGTTAGAAAAAGACAACCTACTGAGTAAAGTGACTCCACCGTCATGGATCATGTCCTTTCCAATTCAGTGACCCTATACTCCATAAAAAAAGATCAATTTGCTACCTCTTCAGCGCCTGGTACGTTCTCTGCGAGACTGAATATTGCTCATCCTCTCACGTGCGCTTTCGACCGCCTTTTAAGTCAACACCACCTTTTCGTAAAAGAAGGTAGCAGCATTGTCAAAGGCACCCATGAGTATGCTGTGATTTTTAATTTGAAACCTTCCAGTGCTGAAATCCTGAAATATATAACCTACACAAATAAGCGCGATTTCTTAAGAAAATATTTTTGGTTTCTATTTATTATTGTTAGAGGCACTTATGCCTCTAAAAATAATAAACAGAAACTTCTTTGACAACAAACAATAGCTCTTCGTAATAATAAATGAAAGTCAAAAACTTTCTTGCTTCTTGCCTTCAAGGTTTTGCATTCATTATTTCAGGTACGCAACTAACCGTGAAATAGCAACATTAATTGCGTTTCATTTCACTACCAACTATGGTTAGCGATTTTTAATGGGTAGAGTTTACTTTTAAAATCGTTTCCCTTTATTACTTTACGAGATTTATAATATTTGTTAGGTTTGGATTTCTATTAAAAAAATTTACAACGTAATAATTATTAAAACTGTAATTTTTAACAGTTTGGATTCCATTATTGACTTTTACATAGCACTCTCAAAACGCATGCGCACGTCCGCAGCGCCATCTGGAGGAAAAAGTAAAGTTAAAAAAGAAACGCCGCCATTTTGACATTTGTTTGGCTTTTGTGTTCTACAATATAAGTTATCATGTAATTACTCATTACGAGATAGTTAACTTCATGTCTCCGCTCATGACCTATTTTAATCATGAACAGGTTCATTACATTTTAGCATATTATTGAGAATCGTTCTAGTCAAACAGTGGAAAAATCAATAATGTTTCAGTGCCGCTTTTTTACTTTCGCGGTGTTAATTTCGTAGTTAATTTACCCATCTTACTCCAGAACGTATTTTGCCTGCAGCGGATATAAAAAAAACAGTGGTTTAATGTGTTTCAATCGAGAAATATCCGTCTTAAGTGATGAAAACTGTCCTATGAAAAAGGCGCGAAGTGACCCGCGCCGATCTTGTACCACGGAAATAGAAAAGATTTGTTACTGTAACGAAGAACATTACAACTTATTATGTGTATTCAAATAAACAGGTGCTGAAGTGTAATTACTCTACACATGTTATGTTCATCAAATGGAATAAGTAATACTTTCTAAAAATTGAGTTCATGTAAGTTGTATTATATTCTATTTATCCCACTACTTTTCATTGCAACGCAAGCATTATTGATGCTATAATTTATAGATTATTAATGTTTATAAATATTAATTGATAAATTCGTGTTTATGTCAAACTATTAAACACCTAATTTTAATGGCTTCACTTATTTTGACAGAAAAATGTAAACAAATAAAAGTTGTCATGTTTATAACTGTGGTTTGTAGAACATTTAAAAACTCCTAAACTCATTAATAGGAAATGGTATAAAACTATTCACTATTGTCTATGAAGCTTTAATTTTCTCCTAAAAATAAGTAGTTGGCTCCCATGCAGTTTTTTGCCTCAGTTTTTTTTATTAGAACTTGCATTTCTTTTTCTATTATACTTTGTATACCTTTTTGGATGGCCTGATATGCGCAGAAATCATAAAATCCACAAATTACACAATCACAAATATTTGTATTTATATAAATATATAAATACAAATATTTGTGTATATATACAAATATTATATATAAAGTTCCAGTTGATCTTGAATCTCAGTCTCCTGCCTGCTTTTGTGTGGGTAAATAAATATACACTTATAAATAAACACATAAGTATACAAAGAAAGTGGCGGTAGCCTAGTGGTTAAGGCATTGGACTTGCAATCAAGAGGTAGTGGGTTTGAATCCTGACCAGTACACTACCAATGTGAACCCACTCCTAAAACAAACAATTTAGCTTAGCTGGAGGGAAACATTAATAAATCATGTAATAAATGTTTGTATGATCTGCAAATAATTATATCAGATTTGAGATGTTTTGTGTGTATAAAATGTTTGCATGTACAAATATAAGTATTCTATCAGTCAATTTAGCTTTCATAGTACTAGCTCTGGTTAGTTTAAAACTAGATGGCGTTGTGTCTCAGATGTCCGAACATACTATTATTTATAATACAAAAATAAAATATAAATTTCCATGCAATATTTTTGATTAGAGACTCAGGTATTTAATTTTAATAAGTTGCAAGATCTAGCTAAAACATTTAAAACTAACTTTAAGTTTGAATTTGAAGATTAGGGGCATGGGGCTTAAAACATTTCATTATTTCACACTACTTACATACATACATTACTTACAGACATTACATAAATACTAGTGACTATGACTGCACAGATGGCGTAGTGGTATAAGCACAACACTCAGTGCAAGACAAAGTAGTGTGGCAACCTACACTACTTCATCCTGCCCTGAGCGATGAACAGAATATTGTTCTGAATCTGGATATTCTTTATGTCCTTTTCATGTATGTTTGTAAAGTTCCCTGCAGCACATGACATATTTCTAATGCAGTTATCTTTAAAAAAAAACAATAACCTGCCAGATCATTGAAACTGTATATCAATGGATGTGGATGCAAATATTAATCTATATATATATATATATATAAGAGATTTCCATGTATATAGTCACTCATCACAATATCTCTGGAACCATTCGAGCGAAAGACTTGAAATTTGGTAGGAATATTCTTTTCACCGAGTAGAGGTCAGCTAAGAACGGATTTTAAGAAATTAAAAAAATATATTTTAATAATGTAAATAGCAAAACAACGTTTGCAGGGTCAGCTAGTTATCTATAAATGCAATTATTATGTGTGTATAATATTAGATAAATTTAGCTTTCACCACTACAGCTTTCTTCTCTTTTCAGGTTCAGTTATCCTCTAATCTTGCGATGCGGTTAAGAAGTAGGAAAAGGGAGCGGCCGCTCTCAAGCAAGAGAACTTCAAAAGTCACCAAATTAAAGAACATCCAATCCATTAAACCTCTGTCCAAACCGGACACTTGGAAACCTCTGCTGAAAAGGGAGAAAAATAATGGTGTGGCTGACACACCATTCTGCATCACACGATCACAGAAACTGAAGACTCGTCCCGTTAGAACCAAATTAAGTATGGAGAAACCTTTGGATACCTTGCATAAGAAGTCTAAACACAAAGATGAAAGTCGCACAAAGAAACCAATCTTCCAAACAGTGGTTAGAAGTACCAACAAAGATACAGTATCATCTTCAACGGCAGTCAAAAAGCCCCAAAACGAAAAGATCTTAACTACATCCAAAACAAAAGAGGTCCGTACAACAAAGTCTGTGCAACTAAGACACAGCTCTTTGAATAGAGAACTAAAGAAAACTGAGCCCATTTCATCAGCCATGAGTTCACCTCGCAAAACACGGCGTATGGACAAAACTGATAAGTCAGCTTCTTTGAACAGTTCACCAATACGGAAAGTACGGCAAATGGGTATCATAACGCCAAAAATAACCAAGTCCTCTGTTAGTTCTACAAATGAGAGTCCTAAAAAGAGAACGAAGAAAGCACCCGTTGTACCAGAAACGAACTGTTATACAGAAGACAATGATGTAACCATGTATGAAGCTCATACAACAACATTTGTAGACTTCCCAACGCAGAAGTCCGAGGAATCAGATTCTGACGGTCAGGTTGAATCGTCAGAGTTATGTCTACCCAATGACTGCCTCAACGATTTCATGGCTATTGCAGAATGTGCTAGTCTGATTAATGAAGAACTGCCAGCTACAGATGAAGATATTAACTTTTTAGCCGATAAAGCAGCCAGAGTGATGACTACAGAGAAGACTGATGATAAGAAGTCCAGAAATAACTCTGTAGATAAGAGATTGACTAAGAGAAGGAAGTCCAGCAATGATCTGGAGATGTATCAGCCTACTTCAACGACCGATGATTTGGATAATTGTACTGACTTTTTAACTAATGGGGAAAAATATGTACAGGTATGTGTGATAAATTGTATATGTGGACATCAATACTGGTTTAATATATTTTTTATTAAAACATAGGCATTTAAAAAATATATTTTTACCATATAAAATACTAATTACTGAAACTACTATAAAAATACTGTAAATAGTAAAGCGGTCAATTTATTAGTAAATTATTGGTATTTAATTTTAATACCAATAATTTACCAATGGAGGGAGGGGGGAATAAGTAGCTCCATAAACATCCATCACTATCTCAGTGATAAGCAAGGAAACTATTACTAAACGCCGGTTTTCTGAAACCGATGCATCACTGATTGATTTTTCTATTAAGACCCTAAACATTTTTTATCTCTCTCTCCCACGCAGCCTGACTTCGTCACTCTGCTAGAGCAGGACGGCTACGTGCGCGACTCGGAGTGCGAAATATCCTCGACGTGCGACACACAAGGCACTGCTATAGAAAATCTCGAAGCGCTGTCAGCACGCAGTCCTAGCTCTGGTTTCTTGGCTGAGATCAGTCAGAGTTTGGCCGCTGAAGCTGCTGGATGGGTAAGTTTATAATTATCTTCTTATAAAACCTAACTGAACCAATCTGAGTCATCAGATCACATTAACAGCCTTTAACAGTCCACTGCTGGACATAAGCCTCTCCTTAGAAAAGAGGTTTTGGCCTACTATACCACGCTGGCTAGACGGGTTGGTATAGGGTTTGTGTCAAGTTTTCCTTCTCTCTGCAGTGCTGTTGTTCTGCGTAGATTTTTCGCTTAGTCGGCTCTTACGACACCCACGGGATGAATAGGGGTGGTGACACTCTGTATTCTTAATCCGTCACCTCACAAATACAATTAAAAATCATAATCAAATTTTTTTATGGTATAAGGGGGCAAATGAGCAGACGGTCACCTGGTGGTAAGCAACTACCGCCGCCCATGGACACCTGCAACTCAAAAGTCACAGGTGCGTTGCTGCCCTTGGAGTCCATCCCGCTCGAGTCAGCGGGAGGGGGGATTTGGGCTCCAGTAACACTCATTCAGTGAAAGGCAACGAAAGAATTCTTAACACCGGTTTTCTGTGAGGCCGTGGTATCACTCTGGTCGAGCCGGCCTATTCGTGCAGAAGCATGGCTCTTTCAGGGGAAAAGTTAAGATTAATTACTCATGATTAAGATTTTGAGGCTAAAAAGAAAGCAGATATGAACATTTAAAAAAAATGCCAAGGGAAGCCAAGAACGAGAGTTTCTACAAAATTATCCTGTTATAGGCACAATGTTTATTAAGTACAATACACTAATGCCGTCCTATGGCTCTGTAGAAATAATGTTTTCTTTAGAAACTATGCTAAATAATTATTTAAAAAAAAAGAGTTGTATGAAATGTATATCACGCGCCATAAGGCTTATTAATATTATTTCAATACAAATAGATATCTACAACTGTAGCCTGCCGAACTTCAAAGAAGTCGCACAGAGATGTATTACAGCAAATGATTTTTATATATAAATAACTGTTACTTACTGTTTTTACTTACAGTATCGTTTTGGGATAAATCCTGTAAAGACACTGTAATTGTTTTTAATAAATAAATAAATAAATAAACTTGGACATCAGGAAATCAGAAATGTAAAGATATGAACATTTAAAAAAAAATGCCAAGGGAAGCCAAGAACGAGAGTTTCTACAAAATTATCCTGTTATAGGCTCAATGTTTATTAAGTACAATACACTAATGCCGTCCTATGGCTCCGTAGAAATAATGTTTTCTTTAGCAACTATGCTAAATAATTATTTAAAAAAAAAGAGTTGTAAGAAATGTAACTTGGACATCAGGAAATCAGAAATGTAAAGATCGGAGGTTTGTTGATTGAAAATATTCTTCAAAATTAGAATTCAGTGTATTTGAACCTTAAAAAAAAATTTTTTTTTGTTCTTTGAATAATTAATAAAAATATTTCAAGAAATCTGTGTCATTATTTTCCAACATTTCTTTTACACAGAATTAATAACATTGATGAATGTTTTAGTTTATAATCAAGTTAATCAATTATATAGTCAACAATCATGTTTCAGATTTGTTTTTTAATCATGATTATTCTAATCTATTTATCTATCTCTAATCTAATTAATTCTAATGTAATCTGATTAAAATTAATAAAATTAATTAATGAAAACACTGCTAAACAGAACTTATACAATGAAAGCTAGATTGACTGATAGAATACTTAAATACTTTTTTTTTAAATATACATATACATAGAAAACACTCAAACTCCGAAACAAAAACGGGCTGAGGGGTCTATGGACCTCCGGTCGGAACGAAGATCCTTTCGCTTTTTGGAAGATGTTTTTTTATAGTGTCGGTAGTCTTGTTCGCTCCCTGCTTCGCGCTGTCTCGCTCCCCTCCGCTCAGAACGTAAAACGCGCGATAAGGACCTCAGTTCCAAAACTATTTGCGGAGAACACAAACATTCGGTCCGACCCGGGAATCGAGTCCGAGACCTCAGAACAGCAGTCACATACGCTACCACGTCTAATCTCTTCTTCAGGATGGTTATATGTAGATTATTTTAATACCACACTGAGTTCTTAAGAGTAAAGCAGGAACCAATAGCACAGACAAAACTGTGGTGAACTATTAGTCTAATGATTGAATTTTTTACCTCCTAAAAAGTTGTCTAAATTTTGGAAAAAGTAATAGTCGGTAGGTGCAAGGTCTGGTGGTCACACAAAAAATTCAATTCCCGAGAGGCAGTACAAAATGCCTTTGAAGAGTTTGTTGCCTCCCGTCCAGCTGATTTTTACAAGAAGGGCATCAATAAACTGCCAATGCGTTGGCAAAGATTTCGAGAAGAGTTGTCGATTGCATGGGTGATTACTTCGAATAACAGAAATAAAAAAGTTTGAAGAAATGAGTACTTTCACTTATTGCATACAAAACGGCAATTTCATAGGTAAAGGTAAAACCTATTATATATGTGGGTTCGGGCCAATGAAAAATGCGGGTGGTATAACTTGTTGTTTATTTCAACGTCAGTATTTTTATCTTACAAACAATATACCAAAAAATTAATTAATTAATTATCTTCGTCTTCCGTACACACACCTCACACGCTCAACCGCCATAACTCTCCTCTCTCCCTCCCTCGCTCCTCTCCCTCGCACCTTTGCATTCCGTTGCGTTCCTTTCCACACATCCTACATATGTTAATACCGACTCCAGGCAAAACTAGCAAAAATTTTTATCTGTATACAAATTATATTTATGTTACTAGAATGGAACGGAGATCGCGCAAGACGAATCATCGCTGGCATGCCACGAGGAGCAGTCACCAACAGACATAGAGGTAATTCATAAACATTAAATCAATGTAGTATTAATCAACAGCCTTTAATAGTCCACTGCTGGACATAAGCCTCTCCTTAGAAATAAGGTTTTGGCCTACTATGCCACTCTGGCCAGACGGGTTAGTATAGGGTTTGTGTCAAGTTTTCCTTCTCTTTGTAGTGCTGTTGACCTTCGTAGTTTGTTTCCTTAGTCGGCCTATGTAGTATTATCGAATAATAAAAATTGTGGAAAAATACAAAGGGAAGATCCTCCAATTAGGAAAAGGTAATTATGTCTGGCGGGTCGCGGCTCCACGGATCAACCGTTGGGAACCTGTACATATATATCAATACTAATCGGCGCAAAAACATTCATAGCGCGATGTAGGATTAGATGTTAATCTGTAGTTCGTTGTGTCTTCCTCCTCAATCTTTTCGTGTCAGTCACTAAAAAATATTTTTTAACGTTATATATTTACAAATCCATACTAAAATACTACTGTAACCCTTTTACATGTGTTCAGTAACCTCTTTTTGCATGTGTCCAGGAGGAAGCCGCCGACGTGATCTCATCATGCAGCAACCGAGTTGACTGCGAGCAAATCTCATCCTGGGTTGATGCTTTTGATCCCTATTTATTTATTAAACAGGTTAGTACAATACACATCAATCATTATCAACAGCCTTTAATAGTCCACTGCTGGACATAGGCCTCTCCTTAGAAAGAAGGTTTTGGCCTACTATACCACCCTGGCCAGACGGGTTGGTATAGGGTTTGTGTCAAGTTTTCCGTCTTTTTGCAGTGCTGGTGTCCTGTTTTGTTTTGCGCCCTTAGTCGGCTCTTACGACACCCACGGGATGAATTGGGGTAGTGAAATTCCGTATTCTTAATCCGTCACTACACGGACAATACACACCATACAATACACACGACTTTATATTATTACATGAACGAATGATTAAATGAATGAAATGAGTGAATGAATGACCACACACATCACTTGATTAGTAGACATGGGGCAAATTCACAGTGAACTGTGATTTATCATTCGATTTTTTCGTACGTAGGTTAGGGTTGCTACTTACTCAAACGTTGTTGCGTATAAGCTGTTTTGAGACGCTATTTAACAGTAAATCAAGTATTTTTGAAAGACAACAACAATAACTAAAACAATGACGACAATAGTGATTTTTTAGGGGGTCCACGGGCCACGGGGGGGGGGGGGGGGGGGTTCAAGTAATAAAAATCATTTCAACTTGCACTATGTATACTTGTTGTACTTTGTACTGCATACAAAACCCAGTTTGCTACACGTAAAATTGTTGGTTCCAGTTACCTCCGTTAGAGACGGTAGCGACGGGTGCTCTGCGAGCCCGCTACCCAGCACTGCCATTGAAGACCAGGACTAGTCCAGACTTCAGTCTTGTAAGTACATTTTTTTGAGTTTTCCTAAGTATAACTAATACTAAATAATTTTTAACCGTTGAAAATGTCTTGTTTTTTATTTTATTGACCAGTATATCTTGATCTGTCATTGTATAGACTTTTGTATACTAACAGAATGTCAATTCTCGGAATAAAAGTTTGGTCACAATTCAGTTCTGATCAACTTTTGATCTCACAACTGTCATAAAAGGTATTTTCGTAGTAAAATAGTAAAGTATTACTAAGACTAGTAAATTACCGATTCAACTGACGACCGAATGGCGTAGTGGTTTGTGTAACGGACTGCTATTCCAAAGGTCGCGGGTTCGATTCCCGCTCAAGTCAAACATTTGTGTGCATGAACATTTAATGTTTTATTTAGTCTGGGAGTTTCTATGTATAATAAGTATGTATTTACAAAAAAAAAGTATATATGTATTTATATCAGTTATCTAGTACCCATAGTACAAGCTCTGCTTAGTTTGGGACTAGATGGCGTTGTGTGAATGTGGTGCAATATTATTATTATTTTGTCATTTTATAACTTGTCTGGTCTCCCTTTTATTTTAAAGGGGTAACAAAATCTAACACACGGGCCTTAGCCAAGTGTGCCAAAAAGGGATGATGATATGAAGTTAAGATGATGAGGATGAAGCGAGAAAGAGTGTGAGACGGCATGTGTTAAGAAGGACTGCTTTTTGTAAGAGTATGAGAGAGGATTTCGGCATTTCCAATGTGTTGAGGCTATCTTGAAGAGTCTTCGGTACTACACCAGTTGTAGATATGACAACGGGTACTATTTTAACTCTATCTACTTGCCATTGCCTTTTTATTTCCGTTGCTAAGTCTATGTATTTAGTCATCTTTTCTGTATGCGTCGTGAGGAGATTGTGTGTGTTACATACTGCTATGTCTATAATAAAAACTATTTTGTTAGTTTTGTCTAGTATTGTTATATCCGGTCTATTATAATGTATGGTTTTGTCGGTAATTATTGTCCTATCCCAATATATTTTAAATGCATTATTTTCTAGAACTGTACTGGGTTTATATTTATAATAAGCAGTTTTATTTGAAATAAATGAGTATTTGTGAGCTAGATTTTGATGGATTATTGCTGCAACTTGGTCATGTCTGTGTTTATAATCAGTTTGTACAATAGATTTACAAGAACCAGTGATGTGTTGGATGGTTTCGGAACTGCTATGGCATCGTCTACATAAGTCGGTAGGAAGGTTAGGGGTACGGATTATGTGTTTTTTATAGTTAAGAGTGTCGATAACCTGATCCTGAATAGCGATCACAAAAGCCTCGGTTTCTGGGAAGAGTTCTCCGCGCCGCAGCCACTCGTTCGACGCTTTTCTATCGACGTGTGTTTGGCTGAGATCGGCGAGATGTCTGCCGTGTAGAGACTTTTGTGCCCATAAGTCTATTTTCTGCTGTTTGCTCAATAATTTTGGTTGAATGTTTGTGTCGTTTAAGTTGAGCGGAGTTAATTTTTTGTCTATATTGGTTAAGAATTTATGAAGATAGGATTGTCCGGCTTGGGCGTAGAAATATTTGCGTAACTTATCTATAAGATTGTTGTGTAGATTCTGTATGTCGATGAGACCTCTCCCTCCATCTTGCCGTGGTAATGTAAGACGTTGTGTGCACGATCTGGGGTGATGTTTCCTATTGGTTGTCATATGTGTGTTGATTGTGCGCTGTAATTTAATGAGATCGCTCTGGGACCAGGCTAAAATCCCAAACGAATAAATAAGAACTGGTATTGCATACGTGTTGATGGCTTTGATGGTATTGCGTGAGTTTAATTGGGTTCTCAAAATCTGACTTATTCTGGCTTTGAATTTCTGTGTTAACTCTAATTTTGTCTGTTTTTGCTGAATCTGTCTAGACTGGCGGAATCCTAAATATTTATACGTCGTATGTTCATCCATTGGTTCTATTTGTTCACCTGTATCAAGTGTATAAAAATTGTATTCTGTCTTGCCGCGGTTGATTGAGTGAGTTTTACATTTGTCTACCCCGAATTGCATATGAATATCTGTCGAGAATGATTGTGTAATGTCAGTTAGTTTATTAAGTTCAGTGTTATTAGTTGCATAAATTTTAATATCGTCCATGTAAAGTAAGTGTGAGAGTATGTGGAATGAGTTATTGCATCTTAATTTAAATCCTATATTTGTACTATCTAGCAGTTCAGATAAGGGGTTGAGTGCCATACAAAACCAAAGCGGGCTAAGCGCATCTCCTTGAAATATGCCTCTTTTAATTTTTATCAAGTCAGTGGTTAACTCGTTATTTATTAATTTTAATTTAGTTTTCCAATGAAGCATGGCTGTGCTTAAGAATGTTATGAGACTAGGGTGAATTTTATAATGGTCCAATACATATAATAACCAACTATGGGGGACAGAATCAAATGCTTTCTTATAATCGACGTACATCATATGGATGTTCCTATTTTTAGTTTTATTATAATTTTCGGTTATAATACGATATAATCACATTACAGTCAACGTTGTATGTTTAATACTTTACTACGAGAACACCTTTTATGACAGTTGTGAGATCGAGAGATGATCGGAACTGAAATGAGCCTGAATTTTTATTACAAGAACTAGCTGAGACCCGCGGTGTTACCCGCGTTTGTTGTTATAACCGCGGGCAACGCCGCGGGGCGAAACTAGTCAAAAAAAAGTAGCCTAAGTTACTCCGTATGTCATCAGCTATCTGCCAGTTAAAGTCCCGTCGACATCGGTCCAGCCAGAGATTACCCGGAACAAACAGACAGACAGACAAAAATTGAAAAAAATGTTATTTTGGCATATGTACCTTGTAAACATACATATGCATTTAGTAAAATGCGGTTATTTTAACAGACACTCCAATTTTATTTATTTGTATAGATTGGCCTTTGGTCAATACATGTACTGGATCCATGTCAACACATGTATTGCTTAAAAATGTGTATATTTGTGTATTTCTTTTATACATAAACATTCTCGAGTTTTTTTTTATGGTATAAGGGGGCAAACGAGCAGACGGTTCACCTGATGGTAAGCAACTACCGCCACCCATGGACACTTGCAACTCAAAAGTCACAAGTGCGTTGAGCCCTTGGAGTCCCTCTCGCTTGAGTCAGCGGATTTGGGCTCCGGTAACCTCACTCACTCAGTGAAAGGCAACGAAAGAATTGTTTAACACCGGTTTTCTGTGAGGCCGTGGTATCACTCCGGTTGAGCCAGCACATTCATGCCGAAGCATAGGTCTCCCACGGTAAATACTAGTACGACAATGTTTTCATGAGCTTTTGCTCATAACTTGGCTCGTTTTACATAACAATTCTTACTCTTAATTTTGTGTTTGTTATTCTCTAAATGTTTTGGTTTGTTTTGTTTGCTTCAGGTTCTGGATTTAGACGAGACGCTGGTGCACTGTTCACTGCAGGAGTTGCCGGATGCAAGTTTTCATTTCCCAGTGCTCTTCCAAGATTGTCGGTACACAGTGAGTATTTTTACACAAATACTTATATAGAATGAGAAATATAACGTTTTAGTAGTTTTTGCACATTTTTTTTGTCCACAGACTTAATTTTTTTTTTTTAACCGACTTCAAAAAAAGGAGGAGGTTCTCAATTCGACTGTATTTTTTTTTTTTTTTTTTTTTTTTTGTATATTTGTTACGCGATTACTCCGGCAATTATAAACCGATTTGAATAATTCTTTTTTTATTTGGTAGGTCATACGTCAAAGGTGGTCCCATTGTCACCAGGTCAGGATCTGATGATGGGATCCTGGGGAAATCGAGGGAAACCCTCAAATTTTGTAGGCATATACACTGTTTATCAGAAATTATCTTAATCTATGTAGATTTTTGCATCTAATGGTCACCATCTGATGTTGCTGAGCTGATGATGAAGCTGATGATGAATGGTTTAGGAGTATGGGATCTCTGTAACAAAATTATGTAATACCATCGAATTTGAATGTGTTTGAGTCTAATTAATAAGGACTCCGATCCTATGTGATATTCAGGGTCTGATGATGGAGACGGTAAATAGCCATGGGAACTCTGTAATAAAATAAAGCAATTCTGCCGTGTTTGTGCTCATTTGATTCGTCTCGACTAGGAGCTTCATGCTAGTCGATTTTTAACCAACATAAAAAAAGGAGGGTTTTTGATTCGACAGTATGTTTTCTTTTTAACCGACTTCCAAAACACAAAAGAAGTATGTTTGTTCCGCGATTTCTCCGTCAATTGTGGACCGATTTTCAAAATTATTTTTGTAATCGAAAGGGTATGCTCCCGAATTGGTCCCATTACCACCAATTCAGGATCTGATGATGGAATCCTAGAGAAATCGAGGGAAACCCCACAATTATTGGGAATTTGACAGCCCCGACAACGTGTTTTAGCTACGAGTATTTCTTTAGCCAAACAAACCAGAGAACTTGCAGTATTTATGTCCCCACAGTAATTAAGAAGAAAAGGTTGAAATTTTGTATTCTATCTTGTTAAAATAATTCGGATAGACGTTTAGTTGCTATGGATGGCATCGCATTTCGTTTGTAAGTAATTTTATACTTAATTTATTAAAATAGTTCTGGAAAAAAACTCTTAAATTTTGTGTGGGTCAACTTTTTAAGGAGAGGCCTATGTCCAGCAGTAATTAAATATAATATTTAATATAATCTAACAAACTACAGTTTGTTACTATACATTACGGTACGTAGTGTTTTAAATATCGTACTTATCTACTCATTACAAACATATCCTACACTAAAAATGGTAAAATAAACCCTTTTAAAAAAAAAGTTGAACCGACTTCAAACAACACCGACAAAGAGCACTAAAAATTAAAAAATAATTACAAATCTAAGTAAAAAACTATAATAAGTACCCTCAATGTAACAGGTAATATTATAATACCAATAGTCCCTTCTAGTCTGTTTGAAGTCGGTGCCAAGCTCGATGCACAATAAGTAAGACTGGTCTATGTCAGCTTTATATTAGCACAATGAAAAATTAAGAATTCAAAATAATTCTAATGAAACATCGAAGATTTTGTTAATTAATAAAGACCAACCAGATAAATTACGTGCGCAAATTTATCAACTACTTAATAAAGCATTCAAAATAATAATATAATTGGAGATGTGCGTCCACTTTAGCTCGTTCAACATGTTTTGCGCAGCATGAAGACTGTTGCAGCTGCCGCGCTACATTCTACCATGCCTATCAAGCACCTATTTGGCTTGGCACCGACTGCAAACAGACTAGAAGGGACTATTGGTATTATAATGTTACCTGTTACATTGAGGGTACTTATTATAGTTTTTTACTTAGATTTGTAATTATTTTTTAATTTTTAGTGCTCTTTGTCGGTGTTGTTTGAAGTCGGTTCAACTTTTTTTTTAAAAGGGTTTTTAAAAAAACAACATTCCGAAATTCTTTAAAATATATTGGAAAAATTAAGTCTTTTTGATTTAATTGGTCACTTACATTCATTTTGTCATGTTATTTCCGTTTTTTCAACCTGACTTCCTAAGTTTGACATTTCACGCACGAAAAAAAAAATAGACAGAATCCTGTCAATTTTTTTTTCGGGATAAAAAGTACCCTAGACTATATAGGCTAATCTTTATCCCGATTGTTACTTTAATTTGCCTCACTATAATCTATTTCTGTGTTAAATTTCATCGAAACAAACATTCGCCCAAACACCCCAATTTATAATGGTAGTAGTTAGGCAGTCAGGGTGCCGTAAGAGGTGACTAAGGGAGCAAACTACGCAGGACAACAATACTTTAAAGAGAAGGAAAACTTGACACCAACCCGTCTGGCCAGCGTGGTACAGTAGACCAAAACCTCCTTTCTAAGGAGAAGCCTATGTCCAGCAGTGGGCTATTAAAAGCTGTTGATGATGATTGATGAATTACCTACACATATGATAGATAAATTACACTCAAACACGGAACAAATGATCATGGTCATCACACCATTATTTGTCCTGGGTGAGAATCAAACCCGCGACCGTTGGCATAGTAAACAGAGGACCACTAACCACTATAGTCCAGGCACATTGACTCATTTACAGAGATAAAAAAAGAAAAATGTTATCCAGATACATACGTTTTCAAATGGTTAAAAGGGTTAAAGTCAACATAAGGAAAATGTGTTATGTACCCAAGAAAGTTAGGGGATGATTCAGATCACACATAAAGGAAGAACACAGATAAAAAATGACATTGCTAGTGTTGTCACATTAGTGAAGGGTTGCGTTCTAATTTAACAATATGTATGTATTTAGAAATATATATGTATGTTTATCAGCACTCTGGTTACCATAGTACAGGCTCTGCCTAGTTTGGGATGAGACTGACTGACTTGACTGCACGGATGGCGTAGTGGTTAAAGCGGTACAACAATTTGTGTAATCCACAAATTGTTGTTCTGAGTCTGGGTGTACTTTGTGTCCGTTTCATGTATGTTTGTAAAGTCCCAGACACAGGATTTATTCCTAGTGCGGGTGTTGTCTAAAAAAAAAAGACGGCCTGTCTCATCCCAAACTAGGCAGAGCCTGTACTATGGTAACCAGAGTGCTGATAAACATACTTATTAATAATTAATAATATTCTACCACATTCACACAACGCCATCTAGTCCCAAACTAAGCAGAGCTTGTACCATGGCTACTAGACTACTGATATAAACACATATATACTTTTTTTTTGTAAATACCCAGACCAAATCAAACATTAAATGTTCATGCACACAAATGTTCGTTTGAGATGTGTGAGTTTATTATCATTATAACACGTTCTGCTAAGAACTGAGAACTGCTAAGGATAGACAGGAATGGAAGAAGTTGGAGGAGGCCTTTGCCAATAAGTGGCACACAGACAGAGTTGTCGATGAGTAATAGTTAAGCGTAATAGATAAGATATATAATATATAAGTAAAAAATTTTTACAATAATTAAGATGTTAAATACTGTAGATGAAAAACTGTCCGAAATAAAGGCTATTATTATTATTATAACACGTTCAGGTGTTCGTCCGCACCCGGCCGCACTTCGCGGAGTTCCTGTCGCGCGTGTCGCGGCTGTACGAGGTGATCCTGTTCACGGCCAGCAAGCGCGTGTACGCCGACCGCCTGCTCAACCTGCTCGACCCGGCGCGACGATGGATCAAATACAGGTCCGTTGTGCTGGAACACATCTGTTTACATATTAGGCCAGTCTGTTTACATTTTTGGAACCGAAACCAATATACAGCAAACAAAAAAATCTGTAGAGAAAACCTAAAATAGATGATAGTTAGTAAGTTAATAGGTATAATAATAAAAACCATACAGTAAGCAATCAGTTTTAGTTGTACTTGTAGTTAATACGTGATAGTCAATTGTAGTTTTATAAGTTTGGTTGTTTGTTTTTTTGTTGTGCTAGCGTTAAGTTGTTTTACAATATAGCCTACTTACCAAATCCAGTCCTTGTGTCATACATGACATGACAAGCAGCACATTAGAGATATCCAGTGGTAATTGCGGCTGTCGGCGTCAAATCAATTAATAATTCTGGTGGGCTCTGAAAATCAGTACTGGGACGGACCATGTCCATCACAGTAAATGCTGAGGGTCCACCTATTCTGTGGGACACAGCGTACAACTCTCATCCGCACAAGCTATCTATGTGATTAAGATTGAGAGGCCTGCTTGGTCACATGCAAAACATAGTTTCTCTCTGGTACCTAACCTAAAATAATAGTGATCACCGCGTCAGCGCCACGTCATATATGATCACAGTCTCACAGACAACTAAATACTCATGACCACAGATAGCGTAGTATAGTGTTGCACGTAGGTCAATAGTTATAAGCATTTAAAAAAATGTAATATTATTGTAAGTTGTATTAAGTTAGTAATTTGTATTAAGTTGTATGCTGTGTTTTCTTACAGAATAAAGTTTATTTTTTTTATTTATTTAGAAGGAAAAGAACTTTTGTACAAAAGTTGTAAAGGATTGACCTGGTCCAGTCCTACGCCAAAAAGATTAATTAATCAAAATCGACCTTTTTCTAAGAAGCTCATATATCTTTGAAATAAAATTATGTTTGAAGCCAAGCTTCGGCACAAGTAGTGATACTGATGTTTAACAATTATGAAGTGTTGTATTAGATACATGAGGCGTCGGAGAATTATGACCAGCCCCCCACATGCTGGCTTACTGTGTAGAATTGGATTACCAATGGTTTGGTAGTGGTGGTGGTTGGTTGTCTAATTCATCATCATGTATCTGTACAACACTTCATCTTTCTATATGTGTGTTCGTAATTATTCCAACAACAACACTGGCAACACACTGGGTGTCCATGGACAATGGTAAACATTTATCAGCAGGTAACTAAGCTACTTATTCACCCCCCTGTAACAAAGTTAGTAAATAGGTTAATATTTTTTTTTCTTAACGGGGAACATCGCAGGATACCCTAATTTAAATTTGGCAATATCCATATCAAAGTCTGTAAGAGATCGCCGTGAACACCGCCTATTGTTATATCGAAGTGTATATAATATCTGTACAAATAATACTGCAGTGTACAATAAAGAGATAAACAAAATAAATAATCCTCATGGATGTCCTTCTCTCATTGGGGGGCGCAGGGGAAGATTAAAGGGGTCTGTCGAACTCTTACTGACCAATAACCACCCTGGTGTTCCTCTGTTTGCCAATGGCCGGGAGAGCGAGAATCGCAATGGCATTCTACCGCCAAAATAGGTTAAGATACAGGCAATGTGTGTTTATTTATGATAATGTTTTTGTTATACAGGTTATTCCGTGAACACTGTCTGCTTGTAAACGGCAACTATGTAAAGGATCTGTCGATACTCGGCAGAGATTTGAGGAAGACAGTTATAGTGGACAACAGCCCGCAGGTTAGTTCAAATATTTATGTTTAAACTAACTGATCCTTGTGGCCACGGATTAAGAATACGGAGTGTTACCACCCCTATTCATCCCACGGGTGTCGTAAGAGCCGACTAAGGTAGCAAACTAAGCAGGCTACAGCACTGTGAAGAGAAGGAAAACTTAAAACAAACCCTATACCAATCCGTCTGGCCAGCGAAGTATAGTAGGCTGAAACCTCCTTTTAAGGAGAGGCCTATGTCCAGCAGTGGACTATTAAAGGCTGCAGATAATAATGATGCACTGATCTGTGAAGATATGTCTGCGTTTCTCAAAAGGAATATATTTTTCAACATTTTTTCAACATTTTTAATTGATACTCGGGTCCTATTGGACTTACCTGGTTCCCCGGCTATTAGTACCCGAGACGGCGTGCGGTTTTAGTCGATTCGAGTCCGACATGCCACCGATAGGTGGTATCCAAGGGGATTTCCGCACGAAAAAAAAAAAAAAGGGTCCTATTGGACTCATATAAAGCTACGACCATAACTTAATATTAAATAGCCTACAGTCTTTAATAAATGGGCTGTTAAGTACTAAAAGAATTCTTCAATTCGAACCAGTAGTTCATCACGAACTCAACAGTTCATCATCAATTCAAACGACCGAATGGCGTAGTGGTTTGTGTAATGGACTGCTATTCCAAAGGTCGCGGGTTCGATTCCCGCTTAAGTCAAACATTTGTGTGCATGAACATTTAATGTTTGATTTGGTCTGGGTGTTTCTATGTATAATAAGTATGTATTTACAAAAAAAAAGTATATATGTATTTATATCAGTTATCTAGTACCCATAGTACAAGCTCTGCTTAGTTTGGGACTAGATGGCGTTGTGTGAATGTGGTAGAAAAAAAAAAAAAAAAAATATATATTTCATTGCAGGCGTTCGGTTACCAGTTAGAGAACGGCATTCCAATAGACAGTTGGTTCGTGGACCGCAGCGACAATGAGCTTCTCAAGCTGCTACCTTTCCTGGAGCATCTCGCTACTGTGAGTATAATTTGTACTGTTTCATGCATTTCTACAACAGGTTGTGGGTTCGATTCCCATTTAGGACAAATAATAGTATGATGAGCACATTTATTTGTTGTATCTGGATGTTATCTATACAAATAAATAAAATTGAAGCGTCTGTTTGTAATGTTGAAATAATAGGTTTTTTTTATGCTTACATGGTTATTTGCACGATACCTATGCCTAAAAACCAGTTTAAAATATTTTTGCCTGTCTGTCTCTTTGTTTCGGGTAACCTTCAAAACGGCTTTACCGACTTAAATACTACCAAGTAGTTGTCTTTATAAGGAGTAACTTAGGCTATTTTTTCTCTCAGAAAAACCCTACAAAATTCTTCAATAAATGTTTTGACGACCGGATGGCGTAGTGGTTTGTGTAACGGACTGCTATTCCTAAGGTCGCGGGTTCGATGCCCGCTCAAGACAAACATTTGTGTGCATGAACATTTAATGTTTGATTGGGTCTGGGTGTTTCTATGTATAATAAGTATGTATTTACAAAAAAAAAGTAGATATGTATTTATATCAGTAGTCTAGTACCCATAATACAAGCTCTGCTTAGTTTGGGACTAGATGGCGTTGTGTGAATGTGATAGAATATTATTAATATAAGTATGTTTATCAGCAGTAAGGTCACCATAGCATAGGCTCTGCCTAATTTGTGATCACAAAGCCTTGTGTGAAACGTGCTCAGGTTATTATTATTATTATTATTATTAATTTGTATTTTTTTTTACTTTTTACAGAAAGACGACGTTCGACCGTACATCAGAGACAAATACAAGCTGTTCAGTTATTTGCCACCTGATTAATGAAACGGTCTCCATACATTTATTATTATACACTTTGTAGGCAATTCGCGGAATAGCTGGTCAATATGCATAATGACTTGATGAAAAGAGAGAGGATTCTTTTTCGAAAAGTCTCTGTTAAAAGAAGAACATGTACTTATAAATTAAACTCAGTGGGGGTTCAGGCGTAACGTCATTTTATTATACTACTAAAGTGGCAAAGGTATTCTATGAGATAAATTAAAAATCTTCCCGTAGATGGTCAGTGTGGTCATCAGCTTACTTCTTTTCCACTTTAGTAGTGGAAAAAATTGACCCAAATATTTATTATTGTAGAGTATGTCAATAAATTTGGTGGAAATCTCCGAAATGCTTTCAAAGTGTTGTTAAGATTATGGTACAGTTTATTTTGTTCGATGATTCAAGAATTAGGAGAGGATATTCTAAAAGGTAGATTTATTTATTAATAAAAATTGGCAAACTATTAGATTTTATGAATTAGTATAGTTTATTTTAAAATTTAATCCAAATGTTCGAATATATCAAGCTATCACAACTTGTATGGAGTCTAGTATAGACTCGGGCTCGAAGGACCATCGGATATGATCTCAATTTTTGCAACTTGTAATATCAGCGAAAAAAGTCATTGGACATGTTCTTCTACTTAATTAAGTACATTTAATATTATTAAAATATATTCATTCTTATTGATCTTATATAAAGGGCCGATTCACGATACCTGTGATTTAAGATCCGTTCAGCGACTTTTGTTGTTGATAGTACACCAGCTTTTTATGATTTAAAAGTGTTTTGTTAAATATATCCGGACATTTGGTTCGATAGCTAAGCATTTGTTGAAGAAAAAAAAGTAAAATTCAAATACAAATGCATTTGATTTTAATTGGATTTCAAAAATCTGTGATTATGATTTTTTATTATTATTTTTTTATTACAAAATGTGTTCTAATTTTTTGTAAGTAGCTCTTTATTGTGTAGACGTAACAGAAAAGAACAGAAGAATTATCTTCATAGTAAAACCATGATTGTAATTCTGCTTCATATAATTGGATACTCATCAGGTGGTCTTCTGCGGGTATCCGGCTCGAAAGACCATGTTGAAGGGTCCAGAGGGACGTAAATCAAATGGTAGTGGACTGTATAGCTTCTAGTTTAACCGCCAGGTCTTTACACGTAAATCAAACTTAAGAATAAAAAGAAATGAAATAATAAGAGGTCGGACCGTCCACGGTGATGTCCCGAGGCGAGAGTGACGGCTGTTGGATGTGTGGGGTCACGCTGCTCGGGGTCGGTCCCCCACTCGCCGCACCGGTAGGGGTAGTCCCCCCTCACGCCTCGCTAAGACGATTATTATGCGTTTAGTTGTGTTGCCAAACCACACCATTTAAACAACTATAACTATGACTCCAGTATTTCTCTACCAGTGCATTCCTTAGTGAGGTGACCTGGTAATCCCTCTCTCTAATCTTTACGTCTGCACAGTAAAATAATATATTAAAAATATTGCATATCATGTACACAAGCATTATTTCTGTTTTTTAAACAACTCGCTAAGAATATATCCTGTGTCGCGGAGGAATTTACAAACATACACAAAGAACTCTCAGAACAATCACTTGTGGATCACACAAAGGTCATACATGAATTGCGTCACACGAATATCATGGGTTTTTTTACCCCCCCCCTCCGCTTCCCATCATAATCATAATCAGCCTTTATCAGTCCTATGCTGGACATAGGGCATTACGTTAAAAAATATTAAATTAAAACTGCAGTTCCAAAATTAGTTTTAATTTCATTTCAATTTTTTTTAATGATAGATTTCAAAAATCAACATTACATAAAACATTTAAAAATATTAACAAAACAAAGTACGAAGATTTATTATCACTGTTAATAATTCTAAATTTGCGTCATAATTCTTACGATATATTTGGTTTTGAAATGTGATGTCACGAAACTTAAGACCCCTCCCACCCCTTTTTTTTTTCCGTGCGGAAATCCCCTCGGATACCACCTGTCGGTGGCATGTCGGACTCGAACCGACTAAAACCGCACGCCGTCTCGGGCACCAATAGCCGGGGAACCAGGTATACCCTAGAAAGGAAGTCCCTGGGGAACCCCTCCCACCCCTAGTCACACAATGTCAGTCTCCTACACGCCTTTACTACTACACTAGCTGACCCGCGCAACTTCGTCTGCGTCTCTCAATAGTAATAAATTTTCTCCGTTTTTGAAACATTCTTCATTGGTGCTCCGCTCCTATTGGTCTTAGCGTGATGATATATAGCCTATAGCCTTCCTCGATAAATGGGCTATCTAACACTGAAAGAATTTTTCAAATCGGACCAGTAGTTCCTGAGATTAGCGCGTTCAAACAAACAAACAAACAAACAAACAAACAAACTCTTCAGCTTTATAATTACTACTACATTCACGCCTTTAGGTATCCCGGCAGGGGTAAGTATAGATTGATCGAAAAACCCATTAGATATTCCTCTTATTAGACATGGAAATGATTGCTACTGCTAAAACATAATATTATGACAAAATAATTGAAATTATGATTTGGTCATGGACAAACATAAATGCCATTAAAATCGATCTAAATTCTTTTTATCAAAGATTACGACCTTTTTTTCGAGTCTAGCGCTAATAATAGCGTTAATAATAGTGACAATAGTGGTTTTGTAAATTATATAATAAATCACAGGTGATTGTGTTTTTATTCCATTCTTTCCTCTTATTATAAACATGTTAGTGTACGTGGTTGCAATGAATATACATATATTATTTTTAGTTGGTTTTAGTCATTTTGATAAGCGGTGGTAATGCGAATCCTTTCATGTGAAATAAAACATGTGTTTTGAAACACTATTGTCGCCAATCTGACTAAAGTCTTGTAAAAATACACATTTGTTTATTATATATAAAATAAATGTTTAACATATACTACTGTGTACCAAAAGTACCCGGCAATTGTAAATAAAACACAAGAGGTAATTTTAATTATCCAAATTTATTTTGTCCCCTTCAAAGTATCTTCTATTAGAGGCAATACACTTAGGCCAGCGCTTCAACCAGTCCTCGAAACACTTTTCATTTGCAACACAGAATTTAATACGAGATCTTTGCTCAATAAAATCGGCCATAGTAAAAAACGACGCGACCACAAATTTTGTTGACAGAGGTTAGGTTATTTTTTTTTACCGCCAATCAATGACAGTTGTACCAACCTAACGCAAAAAGTATTTTTTTTAAATATCTTTAGAACGAGTTTTTGAAATGAGAATTTCCGGTTACTTTTGGGACTGAATGTATGTATAATTAAGAGTACTCAATAGAGGTGCTAATTCTTAAAAAATATTTTTTACATTTTTTTATACATAATTATTTTGTATTATTTTATTTTACTTTAATACTGGGTTGTGGGTGTTTGAAGTTATTTTTGGGCCATTAGTATATTGTTAATTATATTTCAGATAGCAGAGCGTTCACAAAATGAATATTTAAGAGCTTACGGGGTGTACGCTCTTAACAATACGTACTCTATAATGCACTTATGATTCATGAGTGGCGCTAGTCGCTTACTGTCAGGTGATCTGTCTCCTCGTTTTTTGCCCTATACCGATAAACAAGCAAATGCACAGAAATAGGAATATAGTATTTTGTATACTTAAAACTTATACAGAAAATTGCAGAAAAATCAAATTCAGTTAAAAATTGTATAGAAACTAAGTTAAAAATTATATAGAAACGGCTATACGATTATTTGATTTTCTTATTTCTTATTTGTCATTCCTTATTTTATCCCTTTAGGGGTGAAATACCCAAAAATTATTTTATTAGTGGGTGCTTAGAACATAAGCATCAGCTGCCAATTAGGCTCTGCGTTGATGAATCAGTCAGGGCAGTATATATAGAAAGGCCTGGTATACATTTAGACACGTCGTGGCACAAAAGGTCCATACAACGACAGTTCAACTTAAACTGGTCAATGAAATAGTCATTCACCTAAAATATGAAAATTGTTCAGTTGATTTTTGTAAGCTTTGAAGAAATTTTGACACTTATGTACAAAATGATTCAAAGATTGTTTTTGTACATTTTTCGCGTTTTTGTTCTTCATTTCTCATCAATGCAACCGCAATATGTTACATCGAAGCTAGTTGTAAAATAAAAAATGGCGTAAGGGGTCTATAGACCCCCGGTCGGAATGAAGTTCCTTTCGAAGTTTTGGTAGACGTTTGCTATACAGTCATTATAATTTACTTTATAAAATATTTAATAAAGTTAAATGGAAGAATTTATGATAATATATATTTATTATGTATAAAATAAATAATGATAAATTAATCTTTAATACTTGAGTTATTTCTGAGAGATAGTTCGAGCGAGAAGGGTCGGAAAAAAGTCTTGTTACACATTTTTCTTTTGAAAGAGAAGGAAAACTTGACACAAACCCTATACAGACCCGTCTGGCCAGCGTGGTATAGTAGGCCAAAACCACCATTGTAAGGAGAGGCCTATGTCCAGCAGTGGACTTTTAAAGGCTGTTGATAACACATTTTTCGGTCTCGCTCCCATCCGCTCAGAGCTTGTAAGCTTGATAAGGAATTTCGTTCCAAAAATTAAAAAAAAATTGAACTTCCACAATCCAAATGAAATAACATATTATGTAAGATATTATTATGTTCTTTTAGAGGTTATTTTTACGTCCTTTTTTTTATAAATTTTATGTGTATTGTAGTTTCTTTTTAAATAATCATGATAGAATAATCATATATTGTAAAAATTATGTCATCATAATCCATTTTTAAATGTAAATTTAGGTAAATGGCCGCTCCTATGTAAATCAAAATAAAATTCATTATGATAACTGCTAAAAGTTTAACAAATATCTCTGCCAGACCCTTTTGCGTTCAAAAAATGTAATTAATATTTATGAAAAGGTATTTATAATAAATTAAGAGGCTTTTGTATTTATGTATCACATCTTTTTT